CTCTGTAAGTGCTGACCTATTTCAGCCTCGTGGTTGACCACTTCAATTGAACCAGGTCTAAACCAGGACTAACCCAGGTCCAACCCAGATTCAAACCAGTAGTAAAGCAGGGCTAAACTAGAACTAAAACAGGACAGAACCCGGTCCAAAGCAGGACTAAACCAGGTATAAAGAAGCGCTGAACCAGGACTAAACCAGGACTAAACCAGGACTAAACCAGGTATAAAGAAGCACTGAACCAGGACTAAACAGGACTAAGCAGGACTAAACAGGACTAAACAAGGACTAAACAAGGACTAAACAAGGACTAAACCAGGACTAAACCAGGACTAAACCAATACAAAACCAGGACAAAACCAGGACAAAACCAGGACAAAACCAGGACAAAACCAGGACCAAACCAGGACCAAACCAGGACCAAACCAGGACCAAACCAGGACCAAACCAGGACCAAACCAGGACAAAACCATGACAAAACCATGACAAAACCATGACAAAACCATGACAAAACCAGGACAAAACCAGGACAAAACCAGGACAAAACCAGGACAAAACCAGGACAAAACCAGGACAAAACCAGGACCAAACCAGGACCAAACCAGGACCAAACCAGGACCAAACCAGGACCAAACCAGGACCAAACCAGGACCAAACCAGGACCAAACCATGACAAAGCCATGACAAAACCATGACAAAACCATGACAAAACCATGACAAAACCAGGACCAAACCAGGACCAAACCAGGACCAAACCAGGACCAAACCAGGACCAAACCAGGACCAAACCAGGACCAAACCAGGACCAAACCAGGACAAAACCAGGACAAAACCAGGACAAAACCAGGACAAAACCAGGACAAAACCAGGACAAAACCAGGACAAAACCAGGACAAAACCAGGACAAAACCAGGACAAAACCAGGACAAAACCAGGACAAAACCAGGACAAAACCAGGACAAAACCAGGACAAAACCAGGACAAAACCAGGACTAAACCAGGACTAAACCAGGTCTCTTGATTCAGGTTTCTTCTGTAGATTTGTCAATGACTTCCTTTGGTCTCGCTGTTTGCAGAAGCATTTGTTTTGTAAAATGTGTTGCACCACTCCGGTCTGAAGAATGTAGTGAGAAAAGTAAAATTAAAAACCCTTTCAAGTGTTTATTCAACCCTTTCCATGATAGAAATTGAAGATTCAATAGAAAAATCTTATACCACAGGTCAGAACGCGATAAACATGTTCTGAAATCTGTACAAGTGGAAAGAGTCTCAGTGTTAAATCTGCTCTGGTTCTGAAGGTGGACAGCGGAAGCACAGATTGTGTCTTTATTTCTTCTCCATAGTGAATAATTCATTTTGCAGCGAGATACTGACTTATTCAGCCGGAGAATGTGGGTTACAGGTCCAGATCTAGGTCCAGGTTCAGGTCCAAGTCTAGTTTCAGGTTCAGGTGTATGGCTTGTATGGCTTCAGGAAGGCCTTCAGAGGTCCAGTGGATACTTGGCTTGAACCAGGTCCAAACCAGGTCTAACTAAGGTCTAACCAAGGTCTAACCAAGGTCTAACAAAGGACTAACCAAGGTCTAACAAAGGACTAACCAAGATCTAACCAAGGACTAACCAAGGACTGATCCAGGTCTGCTCTGAACAAACTATAAAGTTGTCCATGTTCTTGTTTTGCATGCGTTTCTTTCTATGTATTTTTGTGTGTTTTGTAACTTCCTTCATCCGTCTAAACCAGGTCTAAACCAGGTCTAAACCAGGTCTATTCTAGGTCTATTCTAGGTCTATCCCAGGTCTATCCCAGGTCTATCCCAGGTCTATCCCAGGTCTATACCAGGTCTAAACCAGGTCTATCCCAGGTCTAAACCAGGTCTAAACCAGGTCTAAACCATGTCTAAACCAGGTCTAAACCAGGTCTAAACCAGGTCTAAACCAGGTCTAAACCAGGTCTAAACCAGGTCTAAACCAGGTCTAAACCAGGTCTAAACCAGGTCTAAACCAGGTCTAAACCAGGTCTAAAACAGGTCTAAACCAGGTCTAAACCAGGTCTAAACCAGGTCTAAACCAGGTCTAAACCAGGTCTAAACCAGGTCTAAACCAGGTCTAAACCAGGTCTAAACCAGGTCTAAACCAGGTCTAAACCAGGTCTAAACCAGGTCTAAATCAGGTCTAAACCATGTCCAAACTCTGACTAAACATGGAATAAATGCAGGACTAAACTAGATCTTAATAATTTCTAAAACGGGACTAAACCAGGACTACGTACAAGTCTAATACTTGGTTTAGACCCAGGTTGATTGTAAAAACATCCAGGTTGGAAACGAGCCCTCTGTGTCTCAGTCCCACAGATTAAGAAGCTTTCCTGTTCCGTTCTGCCCCAGGCTCTAATGCAAAGTGGATTTAGTCCCAGAAGTTCATCATCCAAAAGAAATGCCCAATTTGACTCAGGCCTGAGGGGGTGGGGGGTGGGGGGGGGGGGATGCCAGGAAATGCCCTTATTTGTTGGACCAGGACTGGACCAGGACAGGACCAGAACTGGACCAGGACTAGTGATGAATACTGAGACAAAACAAACCCCATGCTAATATTTGATTTGGACAAATGTAGACTGAATTTCCATCTTTAGTCCAGCTTTAGTCCAGCTTTAGTCCTGCTTTAGTCCTGCTTAATCCTAATTTAGTCCTGCTGTAGTCCTGTTTAAATTCAGATTTAGTCCTGATTTAGTCCTGCTTTAGTCCTGCTTAATCCTAATTTAGTCCTGCTGTAGTCCTGCTTAAATTTAGATTTAATCCTGATTCAGTCCTGATTTAGTCCTGCTGTAGTCCTGCTGTAGTCCTGCTTAAATTCAGATTTAATCCTGATTTAGTCCTGCTGTAGTCCTGCTTAAATTCAGATTTAATCCTGATTTAGCCCTGAATGGGTAATTATACTGAGACTAGAGTGGTCTGAGCCTGCATGTACACAAAGTCCAGTTTTGTATTGTAGTTCATTTTCTCTCTGGACCTGGTTTCTGTCATGGTTTTTAAAAGGCTCCATTGGCGCCGTTACAACACGTGTGCAATAATGAGAGAATGTAAATAGACAAAAGCAGCAGAAGGTCCTTCGAGGTTAGATTACAAAGCTACAGTTGCGTGGATCCAGGCCATCTCTCTGTTGTGGCAGATGTGGGAGGTTTGGGGGGGGGAGTAGGAGACGGAGGAGGGGGGGTTCTGGGCTCGGGTTCAGCACAGAAGCAAATGTTACAAACGTGGTCCTCATGGAATTGTGTTATGGAGACTCCCACCGTTCCGCTTTCTTACTTTTAGAGGAGACAGGCCTGGAACAAGACGCGAATAATTGAGTGAATCGGAAACGGTTAAAAACCAGATTTCCGTGTCTTCGAAAAATCTGCCAAAATACATGGCCACGCAGCGGGTTGAGAGGCCCCTACTGTGAGGTTTTAAAATATTATAAACAATATCGACATTTACGGACATTGGTAACCTGCCTCTAATGGCTCTATGTGTTTTTATCATTGTCTTTCTTGTATTTGATTTTCTGATCTGTGTTCCAAATCAACAACTTTGTAAAGTCCTCAGAGAAAACTACTGTATGTACTACTGCTCTACTGCTATATTGTGAGGTAGGGCGATACAAAAATATATAGAATTGAATTTAAAGCAGGTTTGATGTCCTGGGGTATAGATGCCAGTTGTGAATTATTCTTTAGACCAGGCCCGAGACCAAGCCCGAGACCAAGCCCGAGACCAAGCCCGAGACCAAGCCCGAGACCAAGCCCGAGACCAGGCCCGAGACCAGGCCCGAGACCAGGCCCGAGACCAGGCCCGAGACCAGGCCCGAGACCAGGCCCGAGACCAGGCCCGAGACCAGGCCCGAGACCAGGCCCGAGACCAGGCCCGAGACCAGGCCCGAGACCAGGCCCGAGACCAGGCCCGAGACCAGGCCCGAGACCAGGCCCGAGACCAGGCCCGAGACCAGGCCCGAGACCAGGCCCGAGACCAGGCCCGAGACCAGGCCCGAGACCAGGCCCGAGACCAGGCCCGAGACCAGGCCCGAGACCAGGCCCGAGACCAGGCCCGAGACCAGGCCCGAGACCAGGCCCGAGACCAGGCCCGAGACCAGGCCCGAGACCAGGCCCGAGACCAGGCCCGAGACCAGGCCCGAGACCAGGCCCGAGACCAGGCCCGAGACCAGGCCCGAGACCAGGCCCGAGACCAGGCCCGAGACCAGGCCCGAGACCAGGCCCGAGACCAGGCCCGAGACCAGGCCCGAGACCAGGCCCGAGACCAGGCCCGAGACCAGGCCCGAGACCAGGCCCGAGACCAGGCCCGAGACCAGGCCCGAGACCAGGCCCGAGACCAGGCCCGAGACCAGGCCCGAGACCAGGCAAGAGACCAGGCAAGAGACCAGGCAAGAGACCAGGCAAGAGACCAGGCAAGAGACCAGGCAAGAGACCAGGCAAGAGACCAGGCAAGAGACCAGGCAAGAGACCAGGCAAGAGACCAGGCAAGAGACCAGGCAAGAGACCAGGCAAGAGACCAGGCAAGAGACCAGGCAAGAGACCAGGCAAGAGACCAGGCAAGAGACCAGGCAAGAGACCAGGCAAGAGACCAGGCAAGAGACCAGGCAAGAGACCAGGCAAGAGACCAGGCAAGAGACCAGGCAAGAGACCAGGCAAGAGACCAGGCAAGAGACCAGGCAAGAGACCAGGCAAGAGACCAGGCAAGAGACCAGGCAAGAGACCAGGCAAGAGACCAGGCAAGAGACCAGGCAAGAGACCAGGCAAGAGACCAGGCAAGAGACCAGGCAAGAGACCAGGCAAGAGACCAGGCAAGAGACCAGGCAAGAGACCAGGCAAGAGACCAGGCAAGAGACCAGGCAAGAGACCAGGCAAGAGACCAGGCAAGAGACCAGGCAAGAGACCAGGCAAGAGACCAGTGATTTTCCCCTTGAACAGTTGAACAAAGAAAATAACAGTGTTTTCTTCTTCGTCTGTTGCAGCGGTTACGGCGGTTATCGACCAAATATCGAACAGAAAAGATTTACCCTACGAACGTCGGCGAGAGGGAGGAGAACGTGAAGAAAAACCGATACAAAGACATCCTGCCGTGTGAGTGTGCTGTCGTCACTACGCACACACTGTAACACACACACACGCACGCACGCACACACGTACTGTAATAGACACACAACAGTCGTGGCTCTGAGACCATCTGCTGTGACATAACCACTGCTTACATACGTTGTTAGCCTCCAGGTCTTTGAGTGAATCTGATATAATGAAGTTGAGTGGCTTCTGTAGAATCTCCATAACATTTATTTATTCATTTGTTTGTTTTCTTTGACAACACCGCTGCTTGTTCTGCATAATATCAAATCATGTATTCTGTGCTTTACTTAAAGCTGCACTAACTGACTTTATTTTTGTATTCAATACAAAAATGCTATCCATGTCCATGTAGTGCATTGGGATATACGTCCTTTTAAAGAAAAAGTAGCGCAGATTTGTGCTGGTGTGACATTATATTTTAGATCGAGTTTTGATGAAACAAGGAAGAGAATGTGTTTTGGGTCGCAGATTGTGACCAATCACAGTGGACCACTGGCCCCCACTTTCGTGAGAAATCTACAGGTCTTGTTAGCATAGACGGCTGAGCTAGCACATCCAGCCGAGGAGCAAACCTGAAGCTTCGTCTCTTCGTCACCGGTTACTGCTTACACAGCGAGACAGCCATCCAAAAGAAAGTTCCGTTCCTCCGCGCTTCCCAGTTCTATCGTTCTATGGTCACGCCATCCACGTGCAAATCCATGTCCATGTATTATCCATATTGGGAGACGCTAGCTCCGTCCCAACAGTGGGTGTGTGTGGGGGGCGATAGCTTCGTGGGTGCGAGGCCAGCGAGTCCGCGGCTTCAAAATCCCAAAGTCAGTTAGTGCAGCTTTAATATATTTAAATAATTAGACATTTTCTTTTTCATTTATTATTTTTTCATGATTTAGAATGAGAGATGACGTAATGTACAAACCAGATCACCCATAACTATTCCTTGAGCTGCCAGATTTGTACCTTGACTATGGATGAAAACGAAGGTTACTTATGAAACCACGGTATTATGAATCCCAGATTCATATTTCATAGCACTGTTGCTCAGTGCTATGCACCGCCCTCTGGTGGTCAGGAGGGATGAAATAGAACGAAGATTACGTATGGTTCTATAAATCCCGGATGACCACCAGAGGGCGGTGCATAGCACTGAGTGACAGAGCGCCTCTCGTGGTTAGGAAGGTTATAATAGAACTAGCTTTGTAGCTATAATCTGTTTCAATCTCTCTCTTTCACTCTCTCTCTCTCTGTCTTTATTTGTATAAAATGAGATTTTTTTTTGGCTTTTTGACAGTTTTACAGTCAAAGTTCTCGGCCCCTAGACAAGTCCGCGTCCTAAAACGTTTATAACCTCTGCTGTAAGACCTCAGACGGTCAGCAGGGGGCGACCTTGGGACCTCACAGCCTTCTGCACTTTTAACCCCCAAAGGCTCGCGTTGCTGATGGCCCTTAACTCATTCACTGCCCATGACGACAAAAGTCGTTCTATTGTATAGTAACGCTCACTGCCCAAGACGACTTAGACGACTTTTTCATGTTATTACACGGGAGGCTACAGTAATGTCTGGCGCACCTTGTGAATGACCCACAATACTGATATATAGTGCAAATGTACCTGTAATGATAAATCAACACCAGTAGGATGCAGTATTGCACCACAGGAGAGGTCATAAGTCAGTGGAAAGAAGGAGGAGGAGTGTGGGAGTGTTTGGAGAGCGTGGTGCTGTAGCAGAGCGATGATAGCGTAGCATTGAGACGGATCAGCGATCTAGTTTAGCGATAGTATAGCAAGAGTGATGGCGAAAAAGAATAGTTATAAGCAGTGTACACTGCTTCAGAGATTGACTCGCGGATCAGTGAGTGGGGTCGAGAGGGGAGAGAGTGGAGACCCCGGTGGAGGTCCGTCTCTGCAGCCCAGAGCCCAGAGCAGAGACACACCTTCGGCCTCTCGCAGCGTATCAGCTGCTGCTGTTACTGATGCCTCGGATTTGTTCAGCAAACCTGATCATGATTTATCGGATGAGTGGTTGCAGTCTCAAACCAGCAGAGCATCCTCTCCAGAAGCTCCACAAAGAGTCGAAGGTAAGAACTTGCTAAATTGCCAAGAATATGCTAACTTGAGAGGAGGGAAAGGCGCGGAAACTTGCTCTGATCTGCTAAGTAACACAGCGCTCAAATCCTACTGTTTCTTTAGTAAATGCCAGTTATTCGTTTTATCATTGTTGTATTTATTATTTTTATGTTTAGTTATTTCATACTTGAACATCTTATTGCAGTGACATAGCTCTGACTAAATGAAATGTATCTCCATTCACAGATTCTGATAAAAGAGCCCTCCCCCTGTCCCCCATTGGGGTTGACAGAGCATGGAGGTAAAGATAATTCCTCCTCATACCATAGTACATATTATTGTATATATTCTCCTGGTATAGTGATTTACAAATTTATATTATTTACAGGTGGTGCATCAAGAGGCAGTTGCTGTGCACAAAAAAGGTAAAAGGACTACTATTTCTATTCTTGTACATCCCATGGCAATATAATATAATAATAATATAGTATACTGTGTTTGGTCCAAAAGTAGTCAGTCGATAATGTGGGAGGAAGGCCTTCATTGTATTTTGTGTATTGATTTATTGTAACAAATTCACTGTATAATATAGTTATTGTGTGTATCCATTTTCCAGCACGTTCGTCACCCAGAAGCTCTGGGGAAGATGGCTGACAGGAGGATCAGTGGGAGCCGAGTTAGTTGCCCTTCACAGGAGCTCCTGGACCACAGAGACTGCGGACAGAGGCTGCGAAGCTGGATTCATCTGATCCAGACTTTCTGGAGACTGGAGCTGGATTCATCTGATCCATACTTTCTGGAGCTCTTCTTCACGGAGGGAGAACTACAAATGGTACACAGCGTGTCGTGTTCCGTTGCACACAGTGTTTCAACCTTTCAACTCAAAGCTGAACTACTGGGAGGACTGAAAAGCAGATAAACTCACATACACACACTCACGAACACTCACACGCACTCACTCACTCACTCACGCGCACACAGACACACACGCACTCACTCACGCACACAGACACTCACTCGCACACTGACATTCACACACACAGACACTCACTCACGCAGACACTCACTCGCACACTGACATTCACACACACACACACACTCAAATTCACATGCTTCATTCTATTTTATACATCTATAGTTTTATTGATCTTTGTGTTGTTGTTGTTTGACGTTTTGGTTGATGGTATAGAAGAAAGTTAAATTTTCTATCTGTGAATAAATTGCCAACAATTTGCCATCAAAAGTATTATTTCAGAGTCATGTTTTTATAATTTTTGTAATGGAACAAGTGTGAAGATGTTTTGAGTTGTCACTAAAGCAGCAAAAATGCATCTAAAAGTCTCTTTTCTGCTTGATATGTTCCCGATAACATACAGCTCGTTTTCTCTGTTTTCTTGCTCAGACCAGGTGTTATGGGTGAAAGTATGCTTTGTTCTATGGCGAATAGCTCAAGAACGGTAAGAGGTAGAAACAAACTGTTTTTTTCAGAGTAAAGCAGAGAGGTTAATCTTTAATTTGGTGCCCTTGGTGTTTACATCGTCTAAAAAATGAATATTCTGTGGCACTTCAAAGTTGGGTCAAATCACCTGAAATTGTTGGCAGAATGCACTTCTCAAATCTGAAAATGCCTGGCAGTCAGTGAGTTAAGCAAGACATGACTCAGACATGACTTCCTTTTTTGCCTGTGTGTGTCTGTGTACGTGCGTGTGCGTGTTTCTGTGCTTGTGGGTCTGTCTTTCTATCTTTGTTGTATGTTACTTACACTAAAAGGGATTTTGACTCGACGCTGTGTAACAGAAGGAAGTTGTGAAAAAAGTAAAACACATTTCATCGGCCCCTGACCTCAGTATTCATCACTGTGTAATAATTTTGAAAGCGCATCCTTCAGACACAGGGGACGGGGTAGTGTTTGTGGCAGAAGCGTGGATGGGTCCAGGGTAACATTGTTGGATTATGGTTCAGAAGTCTGTGCTCTCAGTAATTCTGTGGACAATCCGCTGACGTAACTCTAACTCCCTCCGCGCAGCTGCTGTTGTAAACATTGTAATTTCCGGTCTTAATATGTGATTGTGCGACTGCCGCGGAGCACAGGCCCTGGAGCACAGGCCCCGGACTGGACATCTGGACCAAGTCTGTGGGGCCTGTCCTCTCTCTCTCTGGTCCCTCTCTCTCTCTCTCTCTCTCTCTCTCTCTCTCTCTTTCTCTCTTTCTCTCTTTCTCTCTTTCTCTCTTTCTCTCTCTTTCTCTCTCTCTCTCTTTCTTCTCTTTCTCTCTCTCTCTCTTTCTCTCTCTCTCTCTTTCTCTCTCTCTAGTCTTTCTCTGGTCTCTCTCGCTCTGGTCTCTAATAATGATTATAAATTTCATTTATATGGCGCATTTTTATGCACTGAAGATTGCCTGTTTTTAAAACCAAAAACAGTTTAAAGCAAACAGTTCTCTCTCTCAGGTCTCTGTCTCTCTGGTCTCTCCATTCCTCTCTCTCTCATTCTCTCGTCTCCAACTCTCTGGTTTCTCCCTCCCTCTCTCTCTCTCTCCTCTCATTCTCTTTTGTCTCTAACTCTGTCTAACTCTTTGGTCTCCCTCTCTCTCTCTCTTCTGTCTCTCTCTCTTCTCTCTGCTCTCTAACTCCCTCTGCTCTCTCTCTCTCACTCTCTTTCTCTCACTCTCTCACTCTTTCTCTCTCTCTCACTCTTGCTGGTCTCTCTCTCACTCTCGCTGGTTTCTCTCACTCACTCTCGCTGGTTTCTCTCACTCACTCTCGCTGGTCTCTCTCACTCTCTCGCTGGTCCCTCTCACTCTCTCTCGCTGGTCTCTCTCACTCTCTCGCTGGTCCCTCTCACTCTCTCTCTCGCTGGTCTCTCTCACTCTCTCGCTGGTCCCTCTCACTCTCTCTCGCTGGTCTCTCTCACTCTCTCGCTGGTTTCTCTCACTCACTCTCGCTGGTCTCTCTCACTCTCTCGCTGGTCCCTCTCACTCTCTCTCGCTGGTCTCTCTCACTCTCTCTCGCTGGTCTCTCTCACTCTCTCTCGCTGGTCTCTCTCTCTCACTCTCGCTGGTCTCTCTCTCTCACTCTCGCTGGTCTCTCTCTCTCTCGCTGGTCTCTCTCACTCACTCTCGCTGGTCTCTCTCTCTCACTCTTGCTGGTCCCTCTCACTCTCTCTCGCTGGTCTCTCGCTGGTCTCTCTCACTCTCTCTCGCTGGTCTCACTCTCTCTCGCTGGTCTCTCGCTGGTCTCTCTCACTCTCTCTCGCTGGTCTCACTCTCTCTCGCTGGTCTCACTCTCTCTCACTGGTCCCTCTCATTCTCTCGGTGATCTGGCGGTTTATCCGGAGCAGCTGTAGTGCTTAGGAGCTCGGTGCTGGAATGAGGGCCTGACTCTGGACCTGCTAACCTCTTTAATGCCTCTCGCTGTGATTATTTCCTCCTGGTTTCCCTCGTTTGACCTCTCATTGGTCTCTCTGCTTTTGTTTTCTTTTAGGGCTTAGAAATGACTTGCACTTGGGATGTCATGCTCTGTCATACTAACGATCTATATTCAAATATTTTCTCTCCACAAATAATCCATCCTTAATTTCATTAGTTAAGAGATGGCTGTTTTTATGTACTAGTGTCTAGGCAGAAAACATGCCACTGTTACTTCTTCTTCTGCTTCTATTGTTTTATAAAAAAATATTTGTTGTGTTTGTCCTGTTCTATACAACTTTATCCTCATCCTGCTTCTCTGTTGTTGCAGTCGATCACACACGAGTGAAGCTGTCTCTGAAAACGACCAATCAGGATTCAGATTACATCAACGCCAACTTCATCAAGGTAACCACGGCGATATGTAGAATTTAAGACAACCTACAACACAGCAGCGCAAAGGGCTTTGAGGGGGGTTTCTCTCCCGGTGCCGGTTTTACGTACTGTCTACTACTCACAGAACTTTGGTTATGGCTGTGACTTATGGCAGCTTCAGTTATGGGTTTTGGGAAATTAATGTTTTACACACAACCTTTTGTGTATTGTTTGAATAGAGTAATTTTGTCTATCATTTGTAGTGATGACAGTCATTTGTCTTTGGTTTGTGAGAACACACACAGTGACACAGATGAAAAACATTTCTGATATATACAGTTGCTTTTTATTAATTATTACTAGTGCTGTCCAAAATATCGCGTTATTAACGCGTTAACGCAAATCAATATTAACGACGTCATTTTTTTTTATCGCGCGATTAAGAAAAAAAAAAATAGAAACAAAGAAAAGAAAATAGAAAAAGACTAGTTCAGATACATTGTAGACAGAGATTACAAACAATATGTAGTTGGAGATACAGGGGGCCAAAGAAGAAACCCAGAAGGGCACATAGGAGGGGGGGGGGGACATGAAGTGGGAGATGGGGGGGAGGGGTTAATAAAAAAGGCAATACAAGCAAACAGTATACAGTCATAGATCAGAGTCAGAGAAACAGCATAGAGTATTTACATAAACAAATTTAAAAAAGCAATTGCACACAGCACGCCTATTCACTTTTTAGTAGTATTAAAATGATAATTCAAGGGACATAAAGAATAGATACAAATGTGTGACTAATTTGCGATTAATCGCGAGTTAACTATGAAATTCATGCGATTAATCGCGATTAAATATTTTAATCGTTGGACAGCACTAATTATTACTAATGTTGTGGTAGTAATTTCCCTTTAAAACTATGCGCAACTTGTCATGGTAGTATATGGGCCAGCTGGGAAGAAAATTGACAATCGTTGAAGGCTGGCCTGAGTCCTGGATCTATATTCTCAGTCCTGGATCTGTATTCTCAGTCCTGGATCTATATTCTCAGTCCTGGATCTATATTCTCAGTCCTGGATCTATATTCTCAGTCCTGGATCTATATTCTCAGTCCTGGATCTATATTCTCAGTCCTGGATCTATATTCTCAGTCCTGGATCTATATTCTCAGTCCGGGATCTATATTCTCAGTCCGGGATCTACAGCCTCAGCCCTGGATCTACAGCCTCAGTCCTGGGTCTACAGCCTCAGCCCTGGGTCTACAGCCTCAGCCCTGGGTCTACAGCCTCAGACATGGATCTATTTTCTCAGTCCCAGTGCCAGGACATGCTTCGGGACCTTTCTGAACAGTGGTCCTTCTGCTCCCTATGGACCAATGTCTCCAATGTGTTTGTTATTATTGCATTTCCTGTGTTGGAACAGGTTAATTCTCTGATCTGTTGTTGGTGAATCCACAACCTTGTAAAGTCCTCTGAGACGACTCCTGTTGCGATTTAGGGCTGTACACAAATGCATTGAATGGTTGCATTTGAATGCTAATATTTTGGTCCATGTCATATTAGTCCTGCAGTAAAGCCTTGTCTCTTTTCTTAAAGGGGATGGACGGGCCGGAGGTGTACATCGCCACTCAGGGACCTCTGCCCAACACGGTCATTGACTTCTGGAGGATGAACTGGGAGTACAGCGTAGCGGTGAGCCAAGCCTTCACTCATTAACAGACAAGTGGCCATACCTGCATGTGAGAGCCAGATCCTGACAGACCTCTGAAGCTAAGGCAGGGCAGGGCCTGGTTAGTACTGTGATGGGAGACCTCTGGGAACACCAGGTGCCACAGTGGGGTGGCTGCGGCTGTAAATTGCCAAATTGTCACTGTGTCCTTAGGCAAGACACTTCTTCCACATTATCTAGAATGAGTCTGATGTTTTTTTGAATGGTTATGCTTTTATTTGACTGTTTTACAACCTGCTCAGCAACAACAGGTGTAAAGTGAGAAGGTCCTTTATTCGTCCCAGAATGAGGAATTTTCAATTTGATGCGTACATATACATATATACACATACACATACACATCAAGGCAAGCAGCAAAGATCACTTCCGCGCTCCTTATAGGCAAAGTGGGTTAAATGTCTTGCCCAAGGACGCAACGACAGCAGACATCAGTGGGAGTCGGTGGAGAAGGTCTCGTGGTGGGCTCGAACCCACTACATTCGGGCTCAGAGGCCAATACTCTACCAACTGAGCTACTGTCTCTCCAAATTAGCCACTGCTGCTACAACCTGGCACAATCATGGATGTATTATATTAACTGGATAGGGTATTACTAGCTTGTAGCTGAATAACTCACGTGCTCAGGGGATTCTCGCGGTACTGCAGACTGAACCAGACTAAATTCACGTGGGCTACCCAGAAATTTTCCCCATAGAACTCAATGCATATTAAAACAGCTCAACCTCAGCTGACAGAGAACCTACAGCTTTAATAAAGATCGGATTTTGTGGGGATTTTAGTGTCCCTTGTAATCCTGAACTTTTTTTCTTCTTAAATCCTTCGGTTTTGTTTAAATCCACACTTTAGTGCCACAAACTCTGCTCGTCTGGCTCTCGCTCTAACTCCCGCTCTGATGAACTGCTCTGATTGGTCAGAGCGCGGCCGAGCCCCTCTGTGCACGTGCGTGAGACCTGGTGTGAGACCCACACACGCGTGTTTGACGCAAAGCATTATGGGAGATCATCCACTGCGCAGAACCGGGAGGACCAGACGATGCCCAAATACAGGCGAGTTTCCCATAGATCTTTGCGAGTTCCAGACGACTTCCGCTAATTTTTCAGCCCCCATGCTGTCACAAAGCGACACTGAGCACAACCATTCATTTGAATAGGGCGCCATCTTGGATCGCCGGGGCTTGGGCACAATGCATCTCTCCTCTTGGCTGATGTTTATTGTACACTGTCCCTGTAAACATGAAAATCATACCATTGCAGGTTAGATTTGTCCATCTATATACAGCCCATGGTCTGTATGCACCTGTGAAGTATCTTACTCTCCATCCGTCTAAAGCCAAAACTTCAGAATATTGACTTATTTTTGTGGGCGTTTTCCTGATGTCTTTTTCTGACTGAGTAAACTCCAGGGCCTGGTTTGTAAATGTTTGGTTTCCTCTGTGTCTGTGCAGGTGATTGTCATGGCGTGTCGAGAGTTCGAGATGGGAAGGGTAAGAGTCCACAACACAATGAACAAAAGGAACAAAACACAGCTCTATTTAAAGCAACGGGTAAATACTTAGTGTGCATCTCGTAGAGTAGAGAAGAGTAGAAATTAGAGTAGAGTAGGTGGAAACAGGGCTTAACCGTAATTTTCGTTTGAGGTGTCTGCTTTTCAAATCACAACATTAGTTCCTCTTCTATCGTTTGTTTTCATGCATTTCTGGCCCTTGTCATGTCTTTAGATCAACTTTTTTAGGCAGAAAAGTGAAAAAAGAGACAACCACCCTCCCTCGGCCAATCAGCTCTCAGCCCAAAGAGTCAAATGGTGACTCACCGGGCTCTTTCTTACAAAAAAGAGACAGACAACAGAATAATTATTTCATTGTTGCAGAATGTTCTGATCTTTCTTTTCTCTCGTCAGAAAAAGTGTGAGAAGTATTTCCCGCAGTTTGGAGAGGACCCGCTGACGTTTGGGCCTTTCCGGATCTCCTGTGTAAGTGTGTCTGTGTGTCTGCGTGTGTCTATCTGTCCGTGTGTGTGTGTGTGTGTCTGTCTGTGCGTGCGCGCGTGTCTATTTGTGACTGTGTGTGTGTCTCTGTGTCTGTTTCTGTGTGTGTGTGTGTCTGTGTCTTTCATCTTTCATTCAAGGTTTTATGGATTGTGTTTTTAACCCTTTCTCTTTGTAGGAATCAGAACAGGCCAGAACAGACTACTTCATCAGGATGATAGTTGTGGAGTATGAGAATGTAAGTAGCCGAGCTTTAAATGGTTCTTTACTCACTTTACAAGTCCAATAACCACAATATTTCTTTATTTATATAGAGCCTTTCACAGTCCAGAGTCACAAAGCACTTTACAATTGTTGTGGGCATTTGTCTCACTCTCCACACAAAGATGGGAGCGGGGTCATCATACAGGAAGTGCAGGCCAGACCTATTGTACATGTTTTCAGTGGTATGGGAAACCGGAGCAACCAGAGGGAACTTAGGCAGGCACGGGGAGAACATGCAAACTCCACACAGAAACCACTGCTCTTGAAGCCAGTACCATAACGTGTGTGTGTGTGTGTTTCAGGAGACTCGGAGGCTGACCCAGTTCCACTACATGAACTGGCCCGACCACGACGTGCCCTCGTCCTTCGACTCCATCCTGGACATGATCGGACTGATGCGGGAATACCAGGAGAGTGACGACGTTCCCATCTGCGTGCACTGCAGGTGGGAAAGATTACAGTGTTTTTGGGCCAATAATATGATAATGAGGCTATTTACGTTGTCATATAGAGAAAGAGAGGGATTAGAGAAAGAGAGACCAGAGAGTGAGAGACCAGAGAGTGAGAGACCAGAGAGTGAGAGACCAGAGAGTGAGAGACCAGAGAGTGAGAGACCAGAGAGTGAGAGACCAGAGAGTGAGAGACCAGAGAGTGAGAGACCAGAGAGTGAGAGACCAGAGAGTGAGAGACCAGAGAGTGAGAGACCAGAGAGTGAGAGGCCAGAGAGTGAGAGGCCAGAGAGTGAGAGGCCAGAGAGTGAGAGGTCAGAGAGTGAGAGGCCAGAGAGTGAGAGGCCAGAGAGTGAGAGGCCAGAGAGTGAGAGGCCAGAGAGTGAGAGGCCAGAGAGTGAGAGGCCAGAGAGTGAGAGGCCAGAGAGTGAGAGGCCAGAGAGTGAGAGGCCAGAGAGTGAGAGGCCAGAGAGTGAGAGGCCAGAGAGTGAGAGGCCAGAGAGTGAGAGGCCAGAGAGTGAGAGGCCAGAGAGTGAGGGGGATGGAGACTTCTGTTCAGGGTTAGAAGAGTAGTTTCTGAAGTATTTACATGAGCCAAGTCTCAGTCATTGCACACGTTGCGTTGTCGTGCGGGCTTCATGTGTGTGTGATCAGTGTGTAACCCCTGAGGCGGCGCTTCCTGGTTCCTCTCCTGCTGAAGCCGCGTGTGTGCAGATAATGCTGTGTTTGTGTTTTTACGGGGGAAAGCTTCTCGTTAAAGCTCTGTGACAGCGGGAAAAAACGTTTATGATCAGCCCCTGTCCCCGCCGCCGTGTGGCTACTGTCTGCATCCGCTCTGCAGGTGTGGGAGAGAGAGAGAGAGAGAGCAAAGAGAGAGAGCAGAGAGACTGAAGACATGTGCACAAGAGAGAGAGAGAGAGAAGTACAGAGAGAGAGGGAGAGAGAGGGAGAGAGAGCAGAGAGAGAGCAGAGAGACTGAAGGCATGTACACAAGAGAGAGAGCAGCGCAGAAGGAGAGGAAAGGGAGAGCAGAAAGGGATAGCAGAGAGAGAGAGAGAGACTGAAGACATGTTCGCAAGAGGATCATGGGAGTTTATCAAGACAGAATTATCCATGTTTATATGTTCATCTAATTTTGTGCCTGAGAGTTTACCCAGCAAGAGATTTCATCGTTTTGTCTGAAAGACCAAAGAGAGAGACCAGAGAGAGACCAGACAGAGAGAGACCAGACAGAGAGAGACCAGACAGAGAGAGACCAGACAGAGAGAGACCAGACAGAGAGAGACCAGACAGAGAGAGACCAGACAGAGAGAGACCAGACAGAGAGAGACCAGACAGAGAGAGACCAGACAGAGAGAGACCAGACAGAGAGAGACCAGACAGAGAGAGACCAGACAGAGAGAGACCAGACAGAGAGAGACCAGACCGAGACCAGACCGAGACCAGACCGAGACCAGACCGAGACCAGACCGAGACCAGACCGAGACCAGACCGAGACCAGACCGAGACCAGACCAGAGACCAGACCGAGACCAGACCGAGACAGACCAGAGACAAACCAGAGAGAGAAATCACTTGTCAGAGTTTTGATTTAAATGTATTTGCTGAATTGACAAAAAATTCAGATTTTGTGAGTGGTGTTTAGACCTTTCCCTTCCTGGTCTGTGTTCCCAGTGCTGGGTGTGGGCGGACCGGAGCCATATGTGCCATAGACCACACGTGGAACCTCCTGAAGGCCGGGGTGAGTCCGCCACACAGCCCCCTGACATGCGCTGGTCACTGTCTTTGTTCATGTTTTTCTAACCGTGTTTCCGCTTCTTTCATTTGACAGAAAATTCCAGAAGATTTTAACGTATTTCGGTTGATCCAAGAAATGAGGACACAAAGACACTCTGCTGTTCAGACAAAGGTATGGTTCCAGATCGTACTTTAGCATCGTAGCCTGTATAGAGACGGACAATGCTAACCTGCTAGCTCAATGAAACCCGGAAGGAAAGTGGACAAAGATTGGCTTCCACATATTTACATGTAAAAGTAAATTACTCTCGCTCTGTAACGTTTGTGTATTTTGTGATTTTGCCTTTGTTAATCCAGATATGAGCCTAATAAGGATCGACCAATCAAATGCTTTTATCTGCAGGTGGAAGGTTAGCTTGCCTTAGCAACCTTAGCCACACGTCTGCCCCTGTTACAACTAGTGGGGGCGGGTCTCGGCTCAAAAGTGGCCAAAATGACGTGCGCTGACATGCTGCAATACCACCCCGGGCCGATGGGGGTGGACCCAGAAGTAGAATTAGCCAATGCTAACATTTAAAGACCTCTCGAAAACGTCTTTACAGGCTGGTCCAAAAGCTGGCTCTTGGCTCCGTTCCACATGTGTGTCAATGCTGAGGGGGGTGAATTTTTTTAGACCACTCTAGTTTACTTGCTGTGAATTTTTTAAGTCTCTCGTTCAAATGAATGGAGCTCTCGCCGGCTGACGCATGCACAGATGCGTTTTTTCACAATTTTCTTGTGGGCGGGACCACTCGCAGCCATTTTGGATAGCTCCAGTAGAGCACATTTTTTGGCCCATTAGTTAGAACGGCGGAGATAGGCGTGACTCTGTCCATTAATATATTCAGTCTATGGTTACAACGTGAGGCTAACGGTGTTAGAACACATTCCCATATAAGGAAATTGTCTGAAACTAGCTTATGCTCAAATCGGCTACTTCCCCATGAAAGCGAACACTATGGTGATGTCACACTCTGTCAGTCCACTCCTACAGTCTATGGTTGAGTTGCTGCCAATTTTGAGTTGTTATTAATCACGGTGGGTTTCATGTATTTGTGTGAATGCGCTATACAAATAAATGATTATAGCTGTCCTCTCCAGGGTGCAGTTCTGAGCCCAAAGAGGCACATTGTGACTCACATAGTTCACAACACTCTAATGTGTAACTATTTAAATTGAGACTTATCTACAAGTATGGCTGTCACTACCGTATACAACTAGAACTGGAATCTTGTCCGCTCCTCCAACTCGATACACCTCATGTTTATCTGCCTTTAGTCTGAACGAGACTGGAAGTTTTGCCCATTCCTCTTTACAAAACAACTTTATCTCTGTCGCATGAGATGGACTGTGTTTGCGAACAGCAGTTTTTTGAGATTTTCACTTTGATTTAGGTCTAAACTGCGACTGGGGCATTCTTTTTTTTTTTTTTTGTACTACCCATTCCATTCCTGTTCTAGTTTTCTTTCTAAGGTCTTTGTCCTGCTTCTGGACTCTAAATCGTCAACCTTCAGCCTAAAACATTTGGCCATCTCCAGCAAGCTCTATTCCAAAATTAGCTCCATCCATCTTCCCGTACATTTTTGCAATACCTCTTGTTCCTGTTGAAGAAATACAAGCCTATAGCATGATGCTCCCCCCTCCATATTTGACCCCTGGGATGGTGCATTGTGGGTGATGATTAGTGTGTGTGTGTGTGTGTGTGTGTGTGTGTGTGTGTGTGTGTGTGTGTGTCGTGTTGTGTTTCTTTTCTGTCTCTTCACTGTTTGTGTCGTGTGTGTCTCTGCAGGAGCAGTTCGAGCTCGTTCACAAAGCCATCGCACAGCTTTTCGAGAAACAACTCCTGATCTTGGAAGGTTCCTCCGCTCAAATCCACGACGGAATGGTACAGACGCACATAGACACACACACACGCACACGCACACACACACACGCATACAAACACGCATACAAACATACATACACACATACGCCAAGACTCACACTAACACAGACACACATATTTACACACACTAACATAGGCACACATATACACACACTTTAATAGAGACACACATGTACACACATTGATACACATTCACACACACTGTTTTGTCAAGGCTGCCTGCTACTGAAGAAAGACAGGATGCCGCCCAGTAGCTCACGAGAACGGGGAAAACACAAATAATTAGTCACGAGGGAAGGAGCTGGAGGAGGAGGAGGAGGAGGAGGAGGTTGGGAGGGGAGAGAAGGATGCATGCTAACAGAAAATTTAGCTAACTCGTGTCTGTGATGTCTGAGGGAATGTCAATAAGAACAGTCCTTCAGTTGTCTGCACAGCTAAACAGAATGTTTTTTTCTGATGTTTACATTCCTAGAGGAGAAGCCAGGCTCATATTTTCAGGAAGACTGTTCCAGATTTTAGCTGTATACATTTGAAATACTGGCTGCCCATGTTTAGTCTTGACCTCATAGTCCCAGCAGGAGGCCAGTCCCTGTGCTCCTCAGAGTCTGAATTGGTTCATATGTCACAGAGGTACTTTGGTGATTGTGTCATAAAATTCCATCTATGACACTAGTAAACTTCTTTTATGACTAAATTTAAATTAAGGACATAATTTACCATTTTAAAGTCTGGAACTGACTAAATCCAGTCCAAAAAAATCGGGTTTGTCGGCCCCTGGACTTGTATGATGAACTATAGTGGCCCTCTTACTAAAAAAGTTTAGATACCCCACGTATGTGTGTGTCTCTGTGTGTGTGTGTGTGTTTGTATGTCTCCGTCCGTGTGTGGGTGCGTGTGTATGTTTGTGGGTCTCTACCTGTGTCTGTATGTATCTTTGTGTGTGTGTGTTTGTGTGTCTCTGTTGGTGTGTAGATATGTGGGTCTATATGTGTGTGTGTGCCTCTGCGTTTGTGCCTCTGTCTGTGTGTATGTGTGTGTGTCTCTCTGTGTGTGTGTGTGTGTGTGTGTGGGTGTGTGTGTGCCTCTGTCTGTGTTTCTGTGTGTGTGTGTGTGTGTGTGTCTTGTCTGTGTCTTGTCTGTGTGTGTGTGTGTATGTGTGTCTCTGTATCTCTGTGTCTGTGCCCGGAGATCAGATTTGAGAGCTGATCATTGCAAAGACGTGACGAAGGCGTTTGTACTGGCAGCGCTCCAAATTCTCCCACTTCCTGCTTGTGGAAGTTCTGATGACATCACCGCTTACCCAGAATGCACTGGGGGCCTGAGAATAGCAACATCCGCTGGGAAAGAGGCCGAGCAGCAAACGCAGACTCGTACACGAGACACTGACAGCTGCAAGCTTGTGTTCTGTCAATTCAATAAGGCTCCGGTCGGACGTACAATACAGGCCACTCACAAGAGGCTGACGCCATATTGTTACTATAGAAACACAGATTAATCTAGCTTTTTTCATTAACAAACTTATTTTCACACGCCCCAACAGAAAAAGTCTCTCTGGTTTCTCTCTCTGGTCTCTCTCTGGTCTCTCTTTGGTCTCTCTCTGGTCTCTCTTTGGTCTCTCTCTCTCGTCTCTGGTGTCTCCCTTCTGGTCTCGCTCTGGTGTGTCTCTAGTTTCTCTCTGGTCTCTCTCTGTGTTCTCACTCTCTGTTCTCTCTCTCTGTTCTCTCTCTGTTCTCTCTCTGGTCTCTCTCTGGTCTCTCTCTGGTCTCTCTCTGATCTCTCTGGTTTCTGGTCTCACACCAGACTCATTCTAATTTGGGTGAAGTGTCTTGCCTAAGGGTACAACAACAGTGTGGCACTTTACAGCCGCAGCCTTTCCCACTGTGGTTTGTGTTGCTCTCAAAGGTCTCCCATCACAGGCCCTGCCCTGCTTACCTTCAGAAGCCTGTTGGGATCTGGCAGCCGGTTTCACGTATTAAGTGTGCCATACAAATAACCTGTCCTTGTTCTCTCTACAGGAGGAGAGCAGCCCGGACAAAGCTCAGCCGGCGTCTGATGAAGAGCGATGGGACACGCCGCCGCCGAAGCCGCCGCGGATCCGGAGGTCAGACCCTCACTCATTCACTGTTACTACGACAACCACTGCTCCTAACAGCTGACTCAGTGAACAGTGAGGTATTTGAGGGAATTTCCTGGGGCGCCCTGGCAAATTTAGCCTGCAGTACCATAGAGAGAGAGGCGAGAGAGGGACCAGAGAGAGGGACCAGAGAGGGAGACCAGAGAGGGAGACCAGAGAGGGAGACCAGAGAGGGAGACCAGAGAGGGAGACCAGAGAGGGAGACCAGAGAGGGAGACCAGAGAGGGAGACCAGAGAGGGAGACCAGAGAGGGAGACCAGAGAGGGAGACCAGAGAGGGAGACCAGAGAGGGAGACCAACCAGAGAGAGAGACCAACCAGAGAGGGAGAGAGACCAGAGAGAGAGAGACACACCAGAGAGAGACAATCATCATTTCACGGGGACGATACATCCATGGGGAACACTCTTTCTGAAATCTGTTTTCTACCATTTTAATATCAACATTTCTGCAACAACATCTAAATATTATCTAAAGGCCTTGATGTCCATCTGTTTGGAATCTTTGCAACTGACCTGGAAAAAAACACACGATAAAGTGTTTGATGAAAGTCCGTTTCACTTTATGGCCAAGTCTGTCATATCTCGCTGCTCTGATCTGAGGCTGCTTTTGCCGCCTGCAGTGAGATGTAGAGGCCCATAGCATATTCCCTCTCATGTTAAAGACTCTATATGTGACACAGCGGGGGCACTGCTCCAGTTTCACTCTGCCCCTTCATCTCCACCACCACCGGGCGCTTTTTAACAAGGTGTCCTCCCAACAGAGCTGTACCAGTCCTGCAACGGCTTCATTAACGAGACCAGAAAGAGCGAGAGGCCTGAGAGAGACCAGAGAGGAAGAGAGACTAGAGAGAGAGAGAGGCCAGAGAGAGAGAGAGGCCAGAGAGAAAGACCAGAGAGCGAAAGAGGCTTGACAAAGAGACCAGACAGGCTAGAGAGAAAGGCTAAAGAGAGAGGCCAGAGAGAGAGAGGCCAGAGAGAGAGAGGCCAGAGAGAGAGAGGCCAGAGAGAGAGAGGCCGGAGAGAGAGAGGCCGGAGAGAGAGAGGCCGAAGAAAGAGAGGCCGGAGAAAGAGAGGCCGGAGAAAGAGAGGCCGGAGAAAGAGAGGTCGGAGAAAGAGAGGCCGGAGAAAGAGAGGCCGGAGAAAGAGAGGCCAGAGAAAGAGAGGCCAGAGAAAGAGAGGCCAGAGAAGAGAAGGTGAGGCCAGAGAGAGAAAGAGGCTGGACAGAGAGACTAGACAGATGGAGGCCATAGAGAGAGACCCCAAGAGAGAGAGGCCAGAGAGAGAGAGAGAGAGAGAGGCCAGAGAGAGAGAGAGGCCAGAGAGAGAGAGAGGCCAGAGAGAGAGAGAGGCCAGCGAGAGAGAGAGGCCAGCGAGAGACAGAGGCCAGAGAGAGAAGAGAGGGAGAGAGGCCAGAGAGGGAGAGAGGCCAGAGAGAGAGAGAGGCCAGAGAGAGAGAGAGGCCAGCGAGAGAGAGAGGCCAGAGAGAGAAGAGAGGGAGAGAGGCCAGAGAGATGCAGAATCCCACAGCAGAGAAAACATAAACAAACAGTTGATCTTAAGCTAGAGCCCACTGTGATGGAAAGTTAAGGCACCATGCTGACCTTACATACTAGGACACGACAAGGTCAAATATAAAAAAAATATAAACTTTTTTCCCAGTTGCATGATTCCCCTTTTAGATTTTGTCCAGACGCCCACCACACCTGATGTTTGAACACACATCTAGTTGTCCGTTAAAGGGGACACAACTTGGTTTTTGTGGTTGCGCTCTAAACCCTCGCTCCTCGACACCGCTGCTGAACTCTCCGATGACTGTTCCGTTTTTATGGGAAAAAGCAGCATTCTTCCAGCGCCGGATTATTTTGGGACGCAGCTGCCCAAGAACTGTTTATACAAGAGGACGGTTTCCCTCGGCCCGAGACAAACACGCAAATATGAGCTTCTGAAACTCCAGCTACAATAACATACAGTTTGGCTGCAGAATATAAGAAGGCCACCAGCACACACTGTCAGCTCTGAACAGAGAGGCTGAAGTCTGCTGGTATTGGACAATCTCTTGGTTAGTTTGGGATATTTTCTAAAAGTTGTTCATATTGGGGTAGTGGGGGAGAGAGAGGCCAAAGAGAGAGGCCAAAGAGAGAGGCCAGGGAGAGAGAGGCCAGGGAGAGAGAGGCCAGGGAGAGAGAGGCCAGGGAGAGAGAGGCCAGGGAGAGAGAGGCCAGGGAGAGAGAGGCCAGGGAGAGAGAGGCCAGGGAGATAGAGGCCAGGGAGATAGAGGCCAGGGAGAGAGAGGCCAGGGAGAGAGAGGCCAGGGAGAGAGGCCAGGGAGAGAGGCCAGAGAGAGAGGCCAGAGAGAGAGAGGCCAGAGAGAGGCCAGAGAGAGAGAGGCCAGAGAGAGAGAGGCCAGAGAGAGAGAGGCCAGAGAGAGAGAGGCCAGAGAGAGAGGCCAGAGAGAGAGGGGCCAGAGAGAGAGAGGCCAGAGAGAGAGAGGCCAGAGAGAGAGAGGCCAGAGAGAGAGAGGCCAGAGAGAGAGAGGCCAGAGAGAGAGAGGCCAGAGAGAGAGAGGCCAGAGAGAGAGAGACCAGAGAGAGAGAGGCCAGAGAGAGAGAGGCCAGAGAGAGAGGACCAGAGAGAGAGAGACCAGAGAGAGAGAGGCCAGAGAGAGAGGCCAAGAAGGGAAAATTAGAAAATTGAATGGATACAAAAATGTTGATTGTAAAGATTTTCTAAACTCATGGCCAATAAACAGATCCCAGAGTGATGTCATAGTGCTACAATGACATCACACTGAGACAGAGGCTTTTAGACAGAAGGGGCGGAGCTACACATTGGTGCCAGAAGTTTCTGATATTAGCGTGGATGGAGCTAAAAAGAATTCCAGGTCCGTGACTGATGAGTGAGGAATGTTGTAAATGTACAGTCTTGAGGTAGTTATTAAAAAATCCTATATCCGTCCAACAGTGGGGACATTTCAGGATCTTTTAGTAACTTTCTCACTCATTTTCTCTTGGCGTTTCCGCTTCTCTCCAAACTTTTCCTGAAGGAATCCACTCGGAGCCCACGGAGCCGGAAAGTATTCCAGTGATGCGGAGGCTATTTTTATCACATAGTGCACATTCTGCGGCCACACTCCCTTTGGGCTTCTGTGTTTTTGAGAGCGGAGGAGAGACTGTGTGTAGGACCGAGACCGCTCAAAAGTCCAGTCCTGCTTAACAAGGTCACTGCCTTCACCGAGGGCTTTCATAACCACTGTTTATCCCGGCACAACGTGTAGGTCTGGAATTATGGGACAGGAATGAGGTCACGTTACAACCTTTTAAGTTTAACACCAGGACTCCCAGATTTCTGAAACTACTAGACTCCCAGAGCAGACATTCAGAGGATTCAAAAGATATCTTAATAATGATAAAGACAGACGTTTATACTTATAACTTTGCACTATACTGTATATATAGAGATATTTCTAATAATAATATTGACAATACATACGCTTTTCAAGAACGCAAAGATGCTTCACCGTTCAGGACACACATACACATTCAGACACACAAAACCAAAAATCTGAAAACAGGAATGAAGAGTGCAATGCTTAAACCAGGAGTTGTTTTTAACTGTTTTTTGAAGGAGTTTAGAGAGTGAGTTTCTGAATCCGATATATCTTTAGAAATAGTAATTTATAAAGATTGATATTGAAGCATTTACAGGTAGCTAAGAAACATAGCTGCTACTTATATTGTATATTTTGTGTGCTCCCTGTGTGCTCTTACTACTGTCCTGTATGTGCGGGAAATGTTAATGTCAATGTCAGTTTAATTGTTTAGCACCGCCCCCCCAAACTCGCTCACAGGCTTGTTTACAACAGCGAAGAATTTGAATTTACAAATTCCTTGAATGATGCAGAGACAATTTTGATACATTTTTGCGACCCACAACAGTGTTTCCGGCTGCCTCACGTGAAGAAAGTGCAATCTCTGCAAAACCATCCTCCTTCTGCACGACAGCACATCGTGGGAGGGAAGTTCCTGCGTGGGTGGACTTTGAGGCTAAAGACATTTTTACATTTTTCTTATTCACACATTTGTCTCTGTATTGAGTTGGGTGAAGTCGGCTGTACTCTGAATCCAGATCTACTCCGTCATCTCAAGGACGCTCGCTGAATGCAGTTGTAAAAATGACACTTTTGTCGAATTTTGCGGAAAGAGTCGGACACAAAGCGCTCATTCACTTTCCGTGCATGATCTGGAGTCTGCCCAAAACCACCGCGCTGCGAATTAAAAACTGCATTTCCTCGAACAGCTACATACACGGTGGTTAGAGATGTTACAGATTGATCGGCAGAGTACACAAATGCGGTTAGAAAACGACACCAGGGGAATTTCTTTTCATAATGAGGGCATAACGAGCCGTGGAGCTGTGTTTGGGGGAGTGAAGGTCCCACCGTCAGAGTTTGGGCAATTCCTTTATAAAGTGTCTAAAGTGTTTCACGAGGATGAGACACTTGTCGGAGTCAATTATAATGAGATTCCCTCTGGTCTCTCTCTGGTCTTTGATCTCGTTCTGGTCTTTCTTTGGTTTCTCACTCCCTGCTCTCTCTCTCTCTCTCTCTCTCTCACTCTCACTCTCACTCTCACTCTCACACTCACACTCACACTCACACTCACACTCACACTCACACTCACACTCACTCTCACTCTCACTCTCACTCTCACTCTCACTCTCACTCTCACTCTCACTCTCACACTCACACTCACACTCACACTCACACTCACACTCACACTCTCTGGTCTCTCGCTCTGGTCTCTCTGGTCTTGCACTCTCCAGTCTCTCTTTCTCTGGTCTCTCTCTTTCTGGTCATTCTATCTCTCTCTTCCTCTGCGCCTCCTCCCGGTGCGACATGCCTGGAGCGACTCCCAAACAGATCCCTCCTTTGTGTGGAGGAGCAGCGACTCTACTCCAAGCGGCCCTCACCCTATCTCAGCTTGTGTGGATCGAGTTATAAATCCTTTGCCCTTGGACTCATCACAGAAATAAGCTGCAAACATATATATTTTTTTACATTTTAGCTAATTTAATATGTTTTAAGAAGTAATGGCACAGTCTCCGAGCTCTGCTGCGTTTCTCCGTTCTCTTCCATTCTTCTAATATTTAAGTTTTTCTGTTTCCCCACAGAGACATTAAAGTTTCATCTGATTTCGGAGGCTTAAATAAACCCGCCTTGATCACGTCCCCATGGAAACCCAGGATTATTGTTGAATATATCTCGCTCTCAGACTGATGAAGCCCAGGACCTCCGCTCATATATTTTTCATTAGGTTTTTTTTTCTTTTCTTTTGTGCAGAGATTAGTTTACCACGCAACTTTCCTGCAAGAGACGTGGGCTTGGGAAAACTTTAGATTTGTAGTAGATTTTATGCGTTCCAACAGTGACCCAGATTTATTTCTTAAACAAAATAATACATGTTTTTTGCCCATTGTTAGAGTTTGTAAAAGAAGATAACTTTTCCTCCGTCGCAGAGAACAACCACATCAATACTTTCAAGGCAAAATTATTCAATGCATTATTTCTGGTTCAAACATGATAAATGTATATTTATCTATTTTTTAGACATGAAGCATCAACACTTATTTATTAAAACTCAGACACATGTTTTAGTAAATCCCACGCACCCGGCGGAAGTGGTGGGCGGGCTTTGGTGCAGATGAGGTTGAGCAGATTTTTGTGTATTTACATAAAGTTCTGGGTCCAGAGATCCTGCAGAGATGTGAGATCTCAGCAGGATCTGTCTCAAAGTGTAAAAGAATTATTATTAACAGTATTATTAACATTAATCCTCATCAGAGATCACGTCAGCTGCACTGAAGCCGTATGTCCACAAACACTGTTCCCTTTGTCAGTCCTGGTTTAGTCCTGGTTTAGTCCTGGTTCAGTCCCGGTTTAGTCCCAGTTCAGTCCTGGTTTCGCCCTGGTTTAGCCCTGGTTTCGCCCTGGTTTAGCCATGGTTAAGTCCTGGTGTAGGCCTGGTTTATGTCTGGTTTAGACCCGGTTTAATCCTGGTTTAGTCCCAGTTTAATTCCTGGTTTAGACACAGTTTAGTCCTGGTTTAATCCTGGTTTAGGTCTTGTTAAGACCTGGTTTGGACCCACTTTAAGACCCTGTTTAGACCCGGTTTAGACCTGGTCAAGTCCTAGCCAAGTCTTGATCCAGTCCTAATTCAGTGATTCCGAAGAAAAATAACTTGCCTTCTGCTGCGTTCAAACTTTAGAGAAAAAAAGTTGATTTTGTTTCTGTCTCCTGTAACTTAGGCGTGTGCGTCTGTGTGTGTCTGTTTGTGTTTGTGTGTGTGTGTCTGTGTATGTCTATGTGCGTCTGTTTGTGTGTGGTGCAGTGCGCAGACGGAGGGCGATGTGAAGGAGGAGATCCTGCAGCCTCCGGAGCCTCACCCTGTGCCTCCCATCCTCACCCCCTCTCCCCCCTCCGCCTTCCCCACCGTCACCAACGTGCGGCAGGACAACGACCGCTACCACCCCGTACCTGTGCTACACGTCCTGGCCACGGCACACAACAACACACAGGTACGAGAGACGCACAACAACACACAGGTACAAGAGACGCACAACTACACACAGGTAGGAGAGACATGCAACAACTACACACAGGTACGAGAGACGCACAACAACACACAGGTACGAGAGATGCACAACTACACACAGGTACGAGAGACTCATAACTACTACACACAGGTAAAAGAGGCGCATACCTACTACACACCGCTACGAGAGATACACAACAACGACCCACAGGTACAAGAGACTCACAACAACTATACACAGGTACAAGAAGCGCACAACTAAAACACACATTTACAAGAAAGTACTACACAACAACTACGCACAGGTTCTAGAGACTCAAAACTACTACACACAGGTACAAGAGGCGCACAACTACTACACTCAGGTACTCGAGATACACAACCCCTACACACAGGTACGATAGACGCACAAGACTTACACACTGGTACGAGAAACTACTACACAACAACGACACACAGGTATGAGAGACAAAAAACAACTACACGCAGGTACGAGAAATGACTACAAAACATCTACACACAGGTACGAGAAACTACTTCACAGAGGTAAGAGATGCACTCAAAGGCCCAAACACTCTCTGACCCTACCTGTTATTCTTTAGTCTATTATTCCTGCTCGTTGGATCATTGGAATGTACTAATAATGTAATAAAAACAATGTTTTAATACAATTTAATGTTTTGTCTTTTATACAGAAGCAGGAAGTGGAGAAGCAGCAGCAGAACCAATCGGAAAGCTGCGCTAACGCTAACACCGGTCCGCCGGAGACCAAGGACCAACATCCACCGTCGAAAACACTCAACCAGACTTTAGACTTGAACGACAACTACAACGGCAAAACCTCGTGTGCCAAGTCGGACTCGGGGGCCAGCCAGAGCCACTCCCCCTCCTCCCCCTCCACGCCCTCCTCCCCCCTCCTCTCCCCCGCCGTGGACAGCTCCGCCACGCCGCCGCCACGTATCGAGCGCAAGTTGAGCATCGAGATCAAGAAGGTGCCGCTGCAGGAGGGACCGCGCAGCTTCGAGGCGTGCAGCGCGCCGGCCGCCGCCATCGCCACGTTGACGCCCGCCACCACGCTGCAGAGGAGCCACGCGTTCAAGAGCCGCGGCGCCAACAATCCTCTGACCTCCAGCTCGTCGCTCTCCGAGGATTCTGGGACGGAGGGCGCGAGAGAAGAGGCACCGGTGCGGCCCAATCACTTACTGGTGAAGAGCGCCGAGAAAGACGCGTTAGAGGTTAAAGGTAAGAATTTTGCCGGGAAAAAGATATACCCATCTTTGTCCATATTAAATATATCAGAGAGAGTAAAAGGCAAGACAAAACAACTCTTGTATATTATTATTGTTATTATTAGAATATTGCTATATGTATATTATCGTATAGCACAGTTTATGCACAAGGCAACTCAAAGTGCTTAAAGGTTCACTGTGTAGTTTTTATGCCCATCATCGAGATCATATATTGTTATTTACAGTAACCTCAAAATGCTTCGCAGAACAATACTGTATGTAACACCTTTTTGTCCCTTATCAACCACTGTATTTCAAGATGGTGCATTGGCATGAGAGTCCTCAGTCTCATGGACATTTATAAGTCAATTTCCGAGCCTATGAAAACAATTTAAAAACATGGTGGAGGTAAATATTCTTAAAAAGGTCACATTTGTTATTAGTTTACATGTTTTTTTCATTTTGAGAAACTCTAAAAATCACACAGAAAAGTACAGCATTTGAGGTTACTTAATTATTTATTGAATGTTTTCTGATGAGATGCATGTGGTCGGATTTATTTTTGTTAATTAAACTTTTTTTTAAACTTATTTAGTCCCTCTTGGCCCCTGTTCTATCCAGGCCAAGCTGGTATGAAAGTGTTCTCACTGACAGCGATTGGCCAGAGTGCTGCTGGAAGCCAAGGTTACCTAGGAAATTCCACAGATACTGGTTTGTTGTTGCTAGGATGCGGTACCAGATACTGAAGCGTTACCAGGCAGAGCAGAGAAGAGGAGCTACTTAAGACTTTTAGACACACTAAAGCTTTAACCCTGACCTGCTGCTGTTTTTCACCCCATACCTTTTCTGCGACTCAAAGTAAACGTATTTTGTGTCGTGCAGGTCGGGCGGCGTGGAGCCAGCAGTCGGCCAGCCCAGAGAAGAACCTGTCCAAGTCTTCCTCGTCTTCATCGGAGCGAGTTCCTCAGAGCTCCTCCTGCTCCTCCCACCTCACCTGCTCCTCCTCTTCCTCCTCTTCCTCCACTCCCGTACGGACCGCGCTCAGCTTCACCAACCCGCTGCACTCCGACAACTCCGAGGAGGAGGAGGCCGACGCCGAGATGGTGCCACCTCGCAACAGCGTCTCCACCACCACCATGGTTAGCTCCGCCTCCTCTGGTCACCAAGGAGACCAGCTGCCCGCCAGGAAGGCCACGCCCATGTCCATCGCCGGGCAACACACGCCGTCGCCTCCCGGAAGCCCTGCAAGTACGTGACTGTTTGGAAGCATGGGAGAAGTGAGGGGGGGTAATACTAGCCGAGCTTCTAACTGTGATACAACATTGTTCCTCATCAAAAATAGACCTGAGGTTGATTTTAGCTCCATCCCCTCTAACATAAGGATCTTGAATTTAAAGGACTTGCTGTTGGTTATTGTGACTGAAATTACTGAATAAATATGTAATGAATCGGTCTAACTAGTTCCTGGCTCTAAAACCGTTTTCTTCTATTGCTAGTTTTCACCTGTGCGTTATTTCTGCTCTGTCACATTTTTAGATCTGCTTTTTAGACAGAAAAGTGACAAAGAGACGACCTCACTCTCGCATCCAATCAGCTCTCAATATGTGAAATAATACGTGTTTTTTAACAAAGCTAAACCCCCTCACAGTCCTTTCAGTCCATTTACATCTTTTGAATTAGATCTGAGGAGGATTTTATCAATAAATAAAGAGACCAAAGTGTAAAAGGAAAGAGGAGAGGAAAGACTTATGTTTGACGTCCTTCAATTCAATTTATTCTTGTATAGCCCTAAATCACAGTAGTAGTTTTCGCTGAGGACTTTAAAAAGTTGTGGATGCGCCAACACAGATCAGAGAATCAAAAGAACCACATAGAGCTATTGGCCCATGGGGGTAGATGACCGATGTCTGAAAATATCCTGGATCATCACTGTCTTTAGACCCTCCTGCATCAGCGAGGAAAAATTGAGAAACCTCGGGGAGAGAGGGATCCACTCCCACAGACGGACAGGCTGTAGATCCAGGACTCGGGCTGTAGAAGCCGGGGAAGACAGTCCACAGGTGCAGGTCAAAGAGGCTGGATTCAGTGGTCCCAGCATCACGCCATGAAACAGACAATGGGACAACGGGTGAATGGCAATGAACGGACTACAGCTGATGTCATAGTTTTCTCATAGTGCACGAAGTTTGAAAAAGGAACCTTTAGCCTGAAGGGGCAGGGAGACTGATGGAGCCGTTTTCGCTGAGGAAACAATGTTGTAACTCCATGAAAAGTGTTCTGATAACTTCAGTAAAATCATGTCCTGTCTGATGTGTGTGTGCATGTGGGATGGGCAGGGGGAGGGAGTATCCTGCTGCATGTTTTTGTGAGTTCCCGCTCATCGATTTGGCTGCTACAACTTGAGTTTGCAAATCTCTGGTGACGAGAAGGTTGTTACTTCTCAAATGATTTCAAAATCGGAGCATTCTGAAATCTTGGACTTTGGATTGGACTTGCTGGCTGCCTGGTCGTGTGTGTGTGTGTGTGGGTGTGCTTGTGTGTTTGCGTGTGCTTGTGTGTTTGCGTGTGGTTGTGTGTGCGTGCTTGTGTGTTTGCGTGTGGGTGTGTGTGCGCGTGTGTGTGGTCGCGTGGCGCTCTCGGGATCTGCTTTTGGGGCTGGGGTCAGTGGCTTTGAGATGCGCTATTGGAAAACGGCTGGTGGCTAAGAGACTGCACTTATGCTGCTTTCCCCCAATTAAATATCCCAAGAAAAAAATCCAAGAAAAAATCCCAATTATAAATTCCAAGAAAACTGTTGACATACAGTTTATCTAATTTGATACTAATCTATATTAATTACTATAATAATTTAGGCTGTCGTCCACCAAAGACTAAAGGGGGCTGATTCAAATTGCTTAATTTAATGCTAAAACAACCATAATATTTAGCTATTTTTAAGAAGATGTAATAAAAAGGTGAATTGAGAGTTTGAGCTGGTCTGGATATCAAAGTTAATGCCAAAAACCAAATTTGTACTGTGGTGACAAATACTAGAACGAAAAAGTTCGAAATGTGACAAAAACGGTCAATTTGAGATGTTGTATGTATGGTTCGAGAAATATCAAATACATCCATCCATCCATCCATTTTCTTCCGCTTCATCCGTTGCCGGGTCGCGGGGGCAGCAGTCTAAGCAGAGACGCCCAGACTTCCCTATCCACACACACCTCCTCCAGCTCGTCCGGGGGGACTCCAAGGCGTTCCCAGGCCAGCTGAGAGACATAGTCTCTCCAGCGTGTCCTGGGTCTCCCCCGGGGCCTCCTCCCGGTGGGACATGCCCGGAACACCTCCCCAGGGAGGCGTCCAGGAGGCATCCGGAACAGATGCCCGAGCCACCTCAACTGGTTCCTCTCGACGTGGAGTAGCAGCGGTTTCAAATACAAATATCAAATATCAAATACAACAATATTCAATTGTGAAAAAACAGTATTAAATGATCTGTACAAAGCAGGAGCTCTGTCACTTCCAACACTGTACCTCTTAAATAAACCAAACCTGGAGTTCCCTTGCCAAAGTATTTTTTTATTCTACAAAGAAATTGGGAGGGATACGGTAAACATGAAAAAGAAATATTCAAATGTCGGGTTAAATAAAAGTCACGCTTTTGTCAAAATATTGAAGACATGTGAAATCAAAGAAACATAACAAAATATCGTAGATGAGCTTTAAACAATCCAGCCCCCTTTCCATATAAGAAATCTAAGGACAATTTGTCATTGTCTTGCTGTCACTGAGTATGTTTACAAAGCATAAGAATACAGGAAATAAATCTTAAAGTGTTGATCCCAAACCGGTGTGAGCCCTCTGGTCCACATGCAGGCACTTCATCCAATAGATCAGATGGAGCTCAGTGATGCACCACGTTTCCTGCTTTTGCCTCACGTAACCAGGCCAGAGAGAGAGAGAGGCCAGAGAGAGAGGCCAGAGAGAGAGGCCAGAGAGAGAGGCCAGAGAGAGAGGCCAGAGAGAGAGGCCAGAGAGAGAGGCCAGAGAGAGAGGCCAGAGAGAGAGGCCAGAGAGAGAGGCCAGAGAGAGAGGCCAGAGAGAGAGGCCAGAGAGAGAGGCCAGAGAGAGAGGCCAGAGAGAGAGAGGCCAGAGAGAGAGGCCAGAGAGAGAGAGGCCAGAGAGAGAGGCCAAGAGAGAGAGGCCAGAGAGAGAGGCCAGAGAGAGAGAGGCCAGAGAGAGAGAGGCAATGAAAGATGTGCCGACGGACGATGTACTTTCTCACAATAATCAAAATGCGGGATTGGCCTATGCGTCCAAATACAAGCATGGCTCTTCCCTGCGCTCGTAAATGCATCTTCTGTCCTTGTCTCTGTAGTATCCGGTTTCTAGGGTTACAACATAAGCAGTAGAATTAAATTGGACGAGGCGAGTGCTTTGTAAACATACTCATTCCTGCTGTTTCTCTTAACGTGTTGTTCTGACCTGTGATCTGTGACCCAGACTGTTGGGACAGCGACGACTCCCCTCCCCCCCTCCCCAAGCGGACCCCCGAGTCCTTCCTACTGGCCACAGGTCTGTAAGTGTGTGTGTGTGTGTGTGTGTGTGTGTGTGTGTGTGTGTGTGAGACAGGTCTGTAAGTATATGTGTGTGAGTGTGTGTGTGTGTGACAGGTCCGTAAGTATATGCGTGTGTGTGTGCGTGACAGGTCTGTAAGTACAGTATATGTGTGTGACAGGTCCGTAAGTAAATGCGTGTGTGTGTGTGTGTGCGTGACAGATTTGTAATAGTATGTGTGAGTGTGTGTGTGTGTGACAGGTCCGTAAGTATATGCGTGTGTGTGTGCGTGACAGGTCTGTAATAGTATGTGTGTGTGAGTGTGTGTGTGTGACAGGTCCGTAAGTATATGCGTGTGTGTGTGTGTGACAGGTCTGTAATAGTATGTGTGTGTGAGTGTGTGTGTGTGACAGGTCCGTAAGTATATGCGTGTGTGTGTGTGTGACAGGTCTGTAATAGTATGTGTGTGTGAGTGTGTGTGTGTGACAGGTCTGTAATAGTATATGGGCTTGTTCACACTAAAGGGCACAAAAGTGTGACAAAAGGCCAAAAATTAGATTTTAATAATCAGAAGATATTTTATGTTTTTCATGTTTCCAAACACCTCCTCTGTCCATTAGAAGTTGCTAGAACAAAACTGTTTTATACATTAGACAAGTTTCCTTTAGCGACCCTGTTTATTTTATCTAACGGACGTGATGATTTGACGGAATGAGCTTTGTGGAAGTTTGATAGGTATTTTCAGATGTCCACATTTGATTCAGAGATTCTACTTTTTTACACAAAGTAGATGCAAAGTGATACTTTCATATTGTCAACCAATTAAATGTGAAAACAGACCAGATTTTTTTTCTTCTCAAGTTTAATTTTTAGAGAAAAGAGGACCGTCCTCATCACGTCCGTTATACATTTTTCAGGGGTCATTTAATTAATTATTTTTTATTTTTTCACGATTCCTTTTTATAATCAAGCAATCATACTTATGTTGTGTTAACCATGTAAATCTTGTGGGATTTCATCTTCTGCTTTTTCAGACTGAGGACATTTTATTTTCTATGTAACTGGCGTCACAGTAGAATGGTCCAATCAGAGGCTAATTTAGTCGTTTAAAATGTTGCTAAACATTTTTATGTCAATCTTTCCTTTTGATTTTTTCCACACTATCTCTTCAATGTGTCTGTGTTTGAAATCTTTTTTCCAATCTATGAAAGTAATTTTAGTTTTTAAGTTATAACCTTTTAAAGTCCAGATACTTCAATTGTCACTTTACTGTGAACACACTCATATGCGTGTGTGTGTGTGTGTGTGCGTGACAGGTCTGTAATAGCATGTGTGTTTGTGAGTGTGTGTGTGTGTGACAGGTCTGTAATAGCATGTGTGTGTGTGAGTGTGTGTGTGTGTGACAGGACTGTAATAGTATGTGTGTGTGTGTGGGTGTGCGTGTGTGTGTGACAGGTCCGTAATAGCATGTGTGTGTGTGAGTGTGTGTGTGTGACAGGTCTGTAATAGCATGTGTGTGTGTGACAGGTCTGTAATAGTGTGTGGGTGTGCGTGTGTGTGTGACAGGTCCGTAAGTATATGCGTGTGTGTGCGTGACAGGTCCGTAGGTGTGTGTGACAGGTCTTTAAGAGAGAGAGTGTGTATCTTTGTAAGTGTGATGTGTGTGTGTGTTGCAAGATGCAGCCACTGGCTTGAATTTGCTGATGTTGTGGCGCCATCTACTGGACGCACATGGAGCTACCTTTGTCCAGTCTTCACTTGACATTGGTACATTTTGAGCAGAGTTTGCTGTAAGCTGAGAGCTGTCTGTTGTGAGCTGGAAGCAGACCCTCCTTTGCCATTTGACACGGATTTTTTTACTAATATTATTAATTGGTGCGTGAAACAGGCCTCAGATCAGTGTTTCTCAACCAGCGGGCCATGATCTGTCAGTGTGCGTTGAATTGCTGTTTGGTCAAAATGTATCTAGTAAAAGGTTCTCTCTTATATCACAGATTTATATAAGAGAGAACCTTTATTCACCTCACAGTGGGAAAATATAAGTAGCTGCTATGTTTCTTGGCTAGCTACAAATGCTTCAATAATTTATCAATATATCTCTATCTCTAAGTTATATACATGTAGGGCAGGATAAGTAGATAAAGTAGACATTCTGTGCAATATTTACTTATTTACAGATGAATGACATGTACAAGTTCAGCAGTTCTCTTTGTACAGTCTGACAGCAGCAGGAAGGAAAGACCTGCGGACCCTCTCCTTCACACAGCAAGGGTGAATAAGTCTGTCACTGAAGCTACTCTTCTCCAGAACAGACAGTGTATTAGGAGTAGGGGGTCCGGTGTAGGTAGTGTAACGTGTAGTTGTTCAGCTCCTAATCGACTCTTGTCTCCGTCGCTCTGACAGATCCGGAGATCAAGAACGCCTCCGCAGAGTGGAGCAGCTCACACAAAGGTAACACTGCTATTATTGTGTTAAATAATATGTTTTCGAGCTGCCTTCTACTGGCCCGAAGTGCGATCTATGACTGTGGTGTTGGGGACCGCAAGGATGACTTGTTTGTGATCATGTCGGCGAACGGAGGCGTAACTTTTTTCTAAAAAAAAATTCTCGGCTCTGATTCTGCAGATGGATCGGTGTCGTCTCCACCCGACACTACAGACAGCAGAGCAGAGCTGGGGGGGTAAGTGCTCCCTCCATGCCGTTCACATGCACATAATCCAGAGCAGACATTGTTTTGTTGGTTTATTATTATCAAACAAATTAATAATTTTTTGTAAAGCACGCTCAAGCTCAACCCAGGCTTACCACAGTGAAGTGCAGAGAAGTGAAAAACAGTCACAATGAAAACACATATCAATACAACAACTTTATTGTCCTTACCCCCATGTGTTTGATTAGGTATAACATGCCATTGAAGCATAAGGGCCTGATGGGAAAAAGTTGTGATAGATTTCAATAATTTAAAAATCCAGCCTAGTGCTTTGGTCAATCTGTATTCAAAGCTCTAATCATAGACTGTATTTAGATGGAAAATTCTAGCCCGCTAGCTCAATGTAGCTCAATAGGGAAGTGCTTATGGACAAAGTTTTGCTCCAACTCTCTCTGGCTACTATTGACATACTTTGGAACGTAAACTCCTCTTGCTCAGTAACCTTTTGTGTCGCACTCACCCTTTTGGCCTTTAAAAATCTGTGGTTTTGCGCTGTCTGTGATCCTGGTGTTTTTATTGTGATATTGTCTTTGTGAATCCAGATATGAGCTATAAGGTTTGACCAATCAATGCCTTCATATGCAGGGGAAACTCCAGCTTGCCTTACCAACCATGTTAGTAACACATTAGCTTGCCATTGCTCCTACTACAGCACTTTGGTTGTGTGTAAAAGGAAAATGGCTCCGTCTAGCTTATGTTCAAATTGTCTTCCTCTGCATTAAAGCTAATACTATGGTGATGTCACACTGTCAGCCCACTCCTAACACACAGTCTATGTTTATAACCGTGTTTTTTTCTCCTTCAGGGTTCGGTAACCGCTGCATTCAGCCCAAAGGCCCCCGAGAGCCCCCGCTGGAGTGGACATGAGCGGCCCCTCCAAAGACTCTCTTCACTGTCACACTGCCCCCTACAGGCCGCCACACGCACTGCCCCCTACAGGCCGCCACACACACTGCCCCCTACAGGCCGCCACACGCACTGCGCATCAGAAAACGGACCCAGGATGAGACTTTTCCCCTCAGATCGCCTCCCCCTACAGACCACCTCTCTCTATGGATCCCCCCCCCCCCCCCCCCCTGTGGATCTCCCCCCTCACTATGGATCTCCCCCCTCGCTTCTCCTCCTCCTCTATATCACTTCCACAAACCTTATTGTCTTTTCTCAACACACATGGAGCTGGTCCAAGAAGACAAAGATCATTCCTGATGCATAAAACTAAAAAAATCTACATTTGCCAACGTTGTAAAAGTCATAGTACAGATGGTAAAACTTGTCAATTTTATTTTTTCTTACCTTTCACACTTTCACTACCATACGTTTTTTACTAAAGATATTATTTCACATTGTTTACCATGACGTGACAAAACAAATAGCCTCATTGTCTTTTTTAATGGCCAAGCTAAATGTAGTATTAAGGTCAATGCTTGTCCCGCCTCCAAATCATCAGCCAACTCCAGCCGTGCCATTCTTCCCATACTAGTTACACGTAGCCATTTTGTTTTCATGAATCAGGAGTTCTCTTTGCCTTCCGTGTCGTGTCCAGGTGCTTTTCCCATCTTTGCTGGTGCTACACAAAATTGAAGCCGAGATTTAATGTATTTTTATTTTGCTGTTTCCAATGGGATCCGTCTTTGTTGGAAGCAGGTAAATGTACCTTGATAGCTTTTTATGATTCTATTCAAGCCATAGATGCATTCAGGTACCGTGGTCCCTCGTCGTAACCAGGGACCTCTGTACTCGTAACGTAGACAATTGTTCAGTTCAATCAATAAAGGTGCAACGTGTAACTTAGAATGAATGAAAAAGCAATAAAAACAGTAGGGATGCATCAACATGTCGTCTGTAAATGAAAAGACAATCACCTTTTGTTCCGATCTAGTTAAATTTGACAGTAGTTGAAGCTGATATATTTATTGTTCTTAAAACTCGGGTACCAATCTTTCAAACAGCATCGAAGCTCAAAAATATCTGTTACCATCACTAGTTTTCACCTTTATGTATATTTGGCCACATTTTTAGATCAACTTTTTCAGACAGAGACCAGAGAGAGACCAGAGAGAGACCAGAGAGAGACCAGAGAGAGACCAGAGAGAGACCAGAGAGAGACCAGAGAGAGACCAGAGAGAGAGACCAGAGAGAGAGACCAGAGAGAGAGACCAGAGAGAGAGACCAGAGAGAGAGACCAGAGAGAGAGACCAGAGAGAGAGAGACCAGAGAGAGAGAGACCAGAGAGAGAGACCAGAGAGAGAGACCAGAGAGAGAGACCAGAGAGAGAGACCAGAGAGAGAGAGACCAGAGAGAGAGACCAGAGAGAGAGACCAGAGAGAGAGACCAGAGAGAGAGACCAGAGAGAGAGGCCAGAGAGAGAGACCAGAGAGAGAGGCCAGAGAGAGAGGCCAGAGAGAGAGGCCAGAGAGAGAGGCCAGAGAGAGAGAGCGAGACCAGAGGCCAGAGAGAGAGAGCGAGAGGCCAGAGAGAGAGAGAGAATATCTCCTATAGCTGCCCCCTAGAAATTGAATGAATGCGAGAAGCTAGCTCTTCTGAAGTTAAAAAAACTTAACTTAAGTTACGCAGTGCACCTTTATCAACAGTTATTTATTTCTGCTAAGTTGAGCCAAAGATGTAATCAAATTTGAGATTTTGTCAACGCTAATTCAATCGGATTTTTGAACAGAACGAATGCTGTTTCTGCCAATACTCTACTCTTTTCTTTTGTTGCGTTTGTCACCAGTTTTTGATGCCGTTTCTCAACTTTTGTTTTCTGTCCCCGCAAAGTCGTGCGAAAATGTGTTTTTTCTGGGGGGCTTCCTGCTTCGTGCTGCCTTTGTGTGCTCTGGGAAAGACGACCTTTAAGACTAGAGAACTAGAAATGACCAGTGTGTTGTGTTCAAGGGTTTTTGTTGTCTTGAGTAAAACTATGGCCCTGTTTCCACCATCCCTACCCTACATTACTCTACTCTACTCGACCCTACTCTACCTGATTATGTATGTAAAATTAGACTTTAGAATTTGGATCTTTAGACCCTCAGCCAGGAACAACTCAAAAAAATGGGAGAAACCTTGGCTGTAGATCCCGGATTGAGGCTGTAGATCCAGGACCGAGGCTGTAGATCCAGGACCGAGGCTGTAGATCCAGGACCGAGGCTGTAGATCCAGGACCGAGGCTGTAGATCCAGGACCGAGGCTGTTGATCCAGGACCGAGGCTGTTGATCCAGGACTGAAGCTGTAGATCGAGGACTGAGGGCTCAAACTTAAAATGGTCTTGCCCAAAGACACACAGCAGCAATCAACAATCGGAGCTTTGAACCACCAACCTTCTGCCAGAAAGACACACACACACACACTGCTCTTTCTTCTCTTATTATTTCCCTTGATTCTCTGAGCGCACAAAGGCACCACGAGTCCCACTTCTAACTGTACAGGGCTGTTTGATTATTGGAAATATAATCCACTATGTTCACGAGATGTAAAAAAGTCAAAGCATGATCCCACAACACACTTCTTTTATTTGTAAATTATTCTGCGAGTTTTGCAAAGATTTCAGGGTTATTTTATATGTTTGTGAGTTGCTTTTGAAAGATATTGTTGAATACATTTGCAGATGATGGAACGCCGCGACCGCAGGCTCTTATCGAGGACTGTAATAATATGAACAATGCTAATAATAACCACAGTTGTTTTTGTAAATTGTATTTTAAAAGTTATTTTTGTATACACACGCACACATAAACATTTTTTTGTTTCCCTGCTTTTCTGTACACTCAAAATAAAATGGTAATAAGCTACCATTTGTAATCTAGACTGCAAAATATATTATGTGCGTTAAATGTAGCAGACACATATTTAAAGCTGGGCTATGTAACTTTCACAGCACAACAATGGAACTGTAATTAGAAAACTCTCCCTATTGGTCCGGCTTGGCTTGGCTCTACTCGGCCTGGTGGCATTTCCATTACGCTTTAGTATTTGGTGCCGTATCCTAGCAACTTACCCATGACAAACCAGTATCCGGGGAAATTGTTTGCTAACTATGGCTTCCAATCACGGGCAGTTAGAACACTGTAGTACCAGCTCGGCCGGGAAAGAACCAGGACCAAGAGGGACTAAAGGAGGACCTTGTACTGGTTAAACAGGGCTAGTGGAAACGCTCCTGATCGGAGTGGAGTAGACTAGGGCTAGTGGGAGCGGGGCTTCTACCATGGATTCCAATGCAGATGACCCTTGAGCACTGGTTCCATGTTTTTGAAAGCGCAGAGGAATAAAAACATATGTTTAGGTGTTGAGAATTTTGATCGTAATTTATGCAGATTCAACCAATCCTTAACATTTTATTTTGGGTGTACACAAGCAATATCCACCATTTTCCCTTCTGTTTTATCGTGCTTCCAAAAACTTGCTACACTGCAAAACAACACCTGACCGAAAAGTTCATTCGGAATTTCAACAGTTAACCTACATATTTTTTTCCCTATTCTTAGAAACCATTTATATTAACACTAGAACTCCCAGGACTGGAGTGGAATTCTTAGAAAAATGTCCACCAGATTATTAAAAGTAATTTATACGATTTAGTTTGTTTTTTACTCACTTTTGATAAGTGCGAAAACTGAATAATATAACAAAAACAGTTGAGATGCTAATGTTAAAGACCAAATGCTAACTGTCACTATGGTAACTAGCGACACAGTTCAGTCTTTATTTGAAAGGGACAGTGTCCAGTAACAGTACGCTCAAAGATATGCACTAGATTATACTGTAGATACACAGCTAATATCCGTCTGCAGTCCCTGGTTACTAGAAGAAAAAAAAAGAAGCAATACAAAACAATAATAACATAAACCTCACGCTGTATTTTCTCTGGTGAGAAGATTTTTCATATTTTATTTGTATGAAATTATCTACATATAGATTCACTTCTAAAACGCTCTGGGAGTCCTAGTGTTAAACGTGTGTTATTTAAACTCTGTACTGAAATCTCGTCTCGTCTGTCATAACTATTACGTTCAAGTCCTGTGTGAACTCGCAAAACCCACGTGAACTTAAATTCTTTCTACCTCGTCTCGCCTGTACCCCTGTGCCTTTTTAAGCGAGACTTAGCCCCGCCCCTTCCCCTCCTCTTGTCCAATCGGCATCCCCTGACACATTACATACCCCGCCCACTTTCGCTAGTCCGTCAATCGGTTGATGCTTAAGCTCTTTTGTACTTGTAAGTATTGGACATATTGAGTCGTATGCGTGATGTACATAATGGAAAAAAGGCAGTAGTTTACAATCCAATCTTTGAATTGTCTCCAAAGCCACAAGAAATAAAAATAATTTAATCATGTAAGACTTTTCTCCTGGTTTTATTTTGTGTGCGTGTTGTAAAGTGCAAGACAACAGCCCCGTTTCCACCAGCCCTACTCTACTCTACATGGTCGTGTTTCAGTTACACTTTAGTATCTGGTACTGTGTCCTAGAAAGCTACCAACAACAATCCAGCACCAAACCAGAGACATTCCTTGGCGACCATGGCTTCCAGCAGCACTCTGGTCAATCACTGTCAGTTAGAACACTTTTGTACCAGCTTGGCCTGGATAGAACCAGAACCAAGAAGGACCTGGTGTCGATTCACACTGGGGTAGTCTTGCACAGATATTCCAATGTGGTTTTACTGCAAATGGCTAATTAACTGAATCTTGAGTCTAAACAGGGCCAGTGGAAACGCTCCCGATCGGGATAGAAGAGTAGAATAAAGAGGGTCTGGTTGAAAATAGTCATATATTTTAATTGTAACAACATTTCAGTGTCAATTATGTGGAGAAGTGATAGACTGTATATAGAAGGACAATGCTAACCTGTTGTTTGTAGTTTTATGTTTATAGGGCAATTAAAAAACAATATTCTTTTGCCAAACAAATATGCAAATTGTATAAAGCTATTCCAAATATGTTTGAGTATACACTTCAGTTTATTCCTAAAATGGAAATTCACTGTATTTTACGTCAATGAACTGAATAAGAAATGAAGCTATAGTGAAGCTTGGCAAGGCAAGTTTATTTGTATAGCGCAGTTCATACACAAGCAACTTAAAACCATAACACATTAAAAAGAAAGATGTAATTCTTCAGATGTTGCACAAGTTACATAGCTGAGATTAGAATGATTTTAGTTTTAATATCTTGCTCAAACACTTACAATACTGGATCCTGAAAAAAAAAAAATGTAAACAATGCAATGATTTATGTGCAAAATTACAACAAATCCAATTATAAATCTCTCTCTTTCTGTCTGTTGATGTTTAGTTTCTGCTCTTATTAGTATTAGTATTGCAGCTACTTTGAATGTATATTTTGTGTGTTCCTTGTGTGCGCTGTAACTTCACAATCTCCCCTACTGTAGAAAAAAAAAGAATAAAGATTATTTTGTCTCATCTTATGTTTTATATTTTGCACTGAAAAGCACATGGCTGCATTCAAATACATTGCCTTATCCTTCCTTGTGTTAAAATTGATCTTTATATGAGACAATATAACTCTAGGGTTGGCTACGTGAAATATCATAAGCATTAAAACATATATAGGCATTTGTATCAGATTTTATCCCACATACGTCCATTAATATAATTAGAATGAGGAGTTTAATTTCCCCGCCTAACCCACTTAAGCTAACAAATTATGAGCATACTTCGCCATCTCATTGATTTTATTTTTTTCTTCATATGCTTTACATGATAGTGATAATAGTTCGTCAGGAATCCCTTGTGCAGTATATTTTGGTATGTAGACTGCGTTGGGGGAAAAAACCACCAGGATTTTTGAAACGCGTAAACATATTGTATTTATCAGTTGTTTGTGTTCATGTGTTTCCCTATGTTTCCATTTGTTTATTAGTTTATTCAAATATACATATACATATTTTAAACGAAGAACACCGGAAATAGGATATTTCATTTTCCGCAGCTGATATGATTGCCTTGGTAACGCATTCGGAACAGCTGGGTTAAGCCAATCAGAGGCCAGCTTTTCCCGGAGAGCAGCCAATCAGAGCGCAGCGAACGAGGATTTAAACCTAGCGACTTCGTCCATATTTTAAACTCTCGTCCTCAGACCAAAAGCATCTACTCTCTGTGAATCCAGCGACTACAGCAGCTTTACCATGGCTCTCCGTGTTACCCGCGTAAGTAACAATATTATACCTATCCATTGTCTTAGAATATAGTGATAGCTTGTTTAAATCACACGTTTTGAATGCGTTTGTGTATTATCGTGATGGGATTTGACGCGGTCTCGTGTCCATAAAATGGCTACCAGTTCTTTTTGTCTTTGGATTAGAAAGGTTTCAATTTTATAAGCATCTGTATTTACCTACAGCTTTTATAATGGGGTTTTGGCATTGTCGTTTGCACATAATTTAATTGCGTCATAAGTTTCTTTTCAGTATCTAGTATTATTGGCCTATCAACAAGATCTTAAGGCTAAAATTATCCTAATTTGAGCAATAATCTTACTGGTCCTGTCCTAGTGCTGCAATAAATGGTTAATAAAAGTGTCTATGCATTAGTATTGTGTATGCACTTTATACAACTTACAATGGGTGTTACATATTTGGATGCTTCTGACCAGGCCTAGGAAGGATCGTGGCTTTCTGGTATTGATCTAAAGACAAACCTTTAAAACAGTCTGCTATTATGAAATGGTTGCAGTAGTTCACAATGTTATCTGGAGTTCATTGGAAAATCTGTAGTTCTGGCATCACATAAGGGCTTCTTGTATTTCAATGGCATAGATGTGCTAAATCTACCTGTTTTGGGCTTTACACAATTTGTCACACATTTAAATTTGTATTGATAATATGTACTTCATTGAAAATGTTTTTGAAGTAATGACTGTCTTCTTAGAACCGCCTGGCCTCCACCCGCACCGAGATGGCAGTGAAGCCCGGAACGCAGTCTCTGCAGACGCGTGCTGCTCTGGGAGACATCGGCAACATCCCAGAGAAGGCAGTCCCCCAGAAAAAGGTACAGAACCGCTTAATACACTATGGTGTGAAATTGTTTTAAAATCACTTTAATCCAGATATGAGCCATTGAAAGAGTTATAAATCTTATCCCTTATTGATGGTGACACCCCGTAAAGCAAACGTCACCAAAGGAATGGCTATATGGAAATTGTCTGCTAACTTATGGTCATATTGGCTTCTTCCACATTTAAGGCTTAAACTATGGCATCAGTCCACTTATATACTGACTTGCGTGTAGGGCCAGAGGTTGAACATGTACAGCTCCTGTCCTTATGTTTAATTTTCAATGACTGAATAAAAATACATGAGGGGAAACTTATTTAATGACCGTCTGCAGGACATGCTTTGGACCCTGCATAACTGTCATTGGCCAGTTGCCACAATGCTCATGTCACACCTCCACGACTGATCAGTGACCTCGGTAACAGCGGGTAAAGGGGGGGTAGGGTGACATGTAAATTTTTCTCCATTGTGTGATAAATGGTATACCACAGGGGATCACATCATCCACATGAGGACAAGGGACAAATCACTCTTGCTTTTTAAACATACCCCGATACCTTTGAGCCTTCTAAGTATTAAGCTTTTAAATCACTTTACTGTTTAACATTTTAGCGAGATGGCAAAAATTACTAAAGTGTGCAATTTCTAAATTGTCCAGGATCTGTCCTGTGTGACACTGAGGTGCCCTGTCCCATGATTTAAATGTGCACACGTGTCTTGTTCATGCAGGTGGTGACCAGAGCTGCCACAAAAGTCCAGAAGGCTGATGCCAAACCAAAACCCCTGGCTGTCGCGCCTCAGCCAGAGCCAGAGGTGGCGGTGAAGGTGAGGACTGGAATCAAAACTTGTATACTTGTCTTATATCTCGTATGTTCTCTTGCCCAAAGTTTTCATTTTCAACTTGTCTCTAAGAAATGGATTTAAGCAAATGGTCCTGACAATATGATCTCTTAAATTGTCCAGACTCTTGTATTGTTGCCAAAACCTGAATCTCCTTTAATTTGAAATGGCACAAGGCAACTCTGTCCTAAACAAAAGGGATGAATCCCAGTACATCTAGCTATTGCTTGTTAATATCCCTGATTCAAATTCAAAGCTTTCAGAAATGTCCTTTGGTAGACCCTGTTCTAGTATTAGCCTGGGTTAAATTTAAAATTATTCTTTTATAGTCCTAAATAAAATATATCCAGACTTTACACCACCATTTAATTTGCAAACCCAATCATAGAATAAAAAAAGGCAGATGTCCAAAAGTGAGTGTCCTGAATCATCACCAGTCCTTTTAGTCAGACCTCACAAGACAATAAACAGACCGTCCCGCATCGGCAAGGAGGCCCCCAGTGGGAAGAGTGAGTGGGTTCTTGCTGTTCCCAGGTGCCGGTCCTGCCCGCCTCCCCCACGCCCATGGAGACCTCCGGCTGTGAGCCCGGTGACCTGTGCCAGGCCTTCTCCGACGTCATCCTGCAGACGGCCATCAGGGACGTGGACTCTGACGACTACAACAACCCCATGCTCTGCAGCGAGTACGTCAAGGAGATCTACAAGTATCTGCGGGTGCTCGAGGTGCGTGGCTCAAGGGCTCTCTGTATACGACTGTTAATGCATGGACTAAACTAGAAGAATGCAGTAATGAGTCTATACATGGCCTTCTTACACTTGTATTGGTAATGAGCTGATTTTAACATAAGCTAACTGGAGCCTATACCCTTACATGGGCACTTGTTCCTACAGGGATGGTTTAAAGGGGGGTATATGGGTTGCTAAGATGGTTACAAAGGAAAGAATACAAAATCTTTTAAGGTCCGATATATGGCCTTGGACTGTCCCAAAATATAAAAGCCATGATGCCAAATGGTGAGTGGCTGTTGCCAAGCTAGAAGTTTACTTTTAAATACCAATGGTAGCCATAGCTGAACTTGATCCATGAGCACTTTCCTGTTGGACTCCATTGCGTTCGTCTGCTTCAGTCCCAATGCTATGGAAATGTACAGATTATAGATTAGTTTGCAAAAGGTGAAGCTTAAAGATTCAATGCCTGTAAAGTTATTTGAGAATCTTTGCAGTTAGGTCACATGCATTTTTACATATAAAAAAAGTTCACTTGCAAAAAGGACAGTCTGAATACAAACCGGAGCAAAAGAAAAAAGTTTGGTCCGCTTTTGATTCAGATCAAGCAAGCGGAGCAAAGGACTTTTCAGGTCTGAATACACCCTTAAACTTTAAAGCTTTAGCTCCAGTTAATCACTTAAATACCTGGACATTCACCTCATTCAATATGAAAATGCCTCTATATATTCTACACTTTGCCCAAACCAGGACGATGGCTTACCTGTCTGCTCCTGATTCTAGACTTTTATTTGTACTTTATGATATAAAGTACACCTGTTCTCTGGTCCTTCTGCAGGTGGAGCAGAACATTAGGCCAAACTACCTGCAGGGAACAGAGGTGACTGGGAACATGCGCTCGATCCTGGTGGACTGGCTCGTCCAAGTGAGCCTGAAGTTCAGACTGCTGCAGGAGACCATGTATATGACAGTGGCAATCATCGACAGATACCTGCAGGTACAACACCGGCCTCCAGAGTTTGCATAGTTTTGAAAATATTGTAAAAGTTAAGATCGTTGTGCATTTCTAGTCTCTGTCAAACTCCTGGGTTTGGCAGCCTAGTTTGACTCATTCCCTCTGATCTGTTCCTCTGGGCCCCAGGACAACCCCGTCCCCAAGAAGCAGCTGCAGCTCGTGGGGGTCACCGCCATGTTCCTGGCCTCAAAGTTCGAGGAGATGTACCCTCCAGAGATAAACGACTTCGCCTTCGTCACAGACAGCGCCTACACCACGGCTCAGATCCGCAGCACGGAGCGTAGCATCCTCAGCGCCCTCAAGTTCCAGCTGGGACGACCGGTGCCTCTGCAGTTCCTCCGCAGGGCGTCCAAGATCCATGAGGTACAGGAGCTAAGTTTAGTAGATGGGAAAGGGAGAAAACAAAAGGACTTACATTCTAATTAAAACATGGTATTCTTAGGGCCAATTACTATAATTTAGTCTCTCAAATCATGTGGCACCTTACTTTTACAAATAAAAATGCTTTAACTTGTGAAATAAAATGTGTTTGAAATGATATCGAGCACCATGCTAAATTCTCACCTCTCCAGGTCACCGCAGAGCAGCACACTCTGGCAAAGTACCTGTTGGAGCTCACGATGGTGGACTACGACATGGTCCACCTGCCTCCCTCAATCGTGGCCAGCGCCGCCCTCGCTCTGACCATCAAGGTCCTGGACGCCGGAGAGTGGGTGAGTGCAGAGGACCAATGAGCCAGAAGTTTTATTGTGTAGACTTTGGTGTTAGTCCTTGTGAAGGTTGCATCGATAACTGTTTGAGCGTCTCTGGTTCAGGACTCGACGCTGGCTCACTACATGGAGTACTCTGCGGAAAGCCTGGTCCCAGTGATGGCTCTGATCGCCAAGAACGTGGTGAAGGTGAACGACGGGCTGACAAAGCACATGGTAGGTCTCATACTCTAAAAGGAACTGGACTGATGTTACTTTAACACGGACCTCTCCGCTCAAACATCAATTTGATCTAGTAAATGGTCAATATTTCCCACTGTCTTTAGCCTTGTACCTGATAGCTGCATATTTTGAGTGTTTTCAATGTTTGTATCAACTTATTGGTGTTTATAGGTCCAAATATAAATGACTTGATATGAAATGGTGCATTAAGTTGACCATAGTTTTTGTACAGACTTGTGGTTTCCAGTTTTTTCTAATCTAAAAGCTGATTTAAACATGGCAGTAGTTTGGGGGATCTTTAGTGGAGAGTTCAATGTGTTTGCAGGGGGAATGTTACTGATTATTAAAGGGCTAAGGAGAGATCAGCCTAGTTGGTGTTTAGTTTCAGCCACTATTTGGTAGACTACCTTCTAGGAAATCACTATAGGCAAACTTGGAACTGGAATGTACAGTTCTGGGCCCTTTTACCATCATAGGCTCAACTATTTGGTAGAGGCCTATAATTTCATTCCAAAGAGAAATGAGTTATAGTGTGCTTACGTCTAAATATTTGCGTCTTTCAGGTAGTGGAAGTTAAAGGTTTAAATTGTCAAGAGTCCAGTTTATGAAAGATGGCAGCTTTACACTAATAGAAGCACCTCATCTACTGCCTAAAAGTTTTGTGTTTGCACTCTACATTCTGGTAATTGTTTCCTGCTCCTCAGGCCGTCAAAGGAAAGTACTCCACAGCCAAACAGATGCGGATCGCCACCATCTCACAGCTCAAAGGATCCGTCATCAAAGAGTTCGCAGCCAAAGCCACAAAGTAAAGGATTCTTCCACTGTACAGACTGTGATCGCACCGGGACGAGTAACACTTTTTTTTATTTTTAATCACTGGAGCAAAGACTGGATTCAAGTCTGCGGAAGCTCCTGGACTTTTAATGTGTGAATGTGTAAAATGTACAGCTTGTTTGTTATGTTCTGAATTAAATTTTTATCCAAATCTTGTTTTTGGTTTTACTGTAAACTAGGCCTCTGTAGCTTAGAGTACATGGCTGACTAGACTAGGGGTGCTCTGTTTAAGACCATAAGCAACCTGGCCTGTTCTCATTTACTATCATGGACAATCTCACTGCATCTTTAACTGCAATTTAGGACAAGACCGACGAGCTTCCTGTGATTTAGTTGCATATATTAAGCTCAAATGGGTAATCTAACGTGTAAAATATTGAAATTACAATATAATGCAAAAGACAAAGTAAATTTGGGCACCTCAAACAGTTCTACAAAATGGTTATTGCTACTAACCTGTCTTTAGTGTCCAGCAAAAGAACTGGTCCTTTTGTGAAATGTCGCCATTCTGAGCCAGTAGATGGCAGACGCCCCACAAGCAAAAGACGGGACTTTTCTACAGATGAAGTCTAGAAGCGTTGTTTATATGTGCTTGAGGATGGACTCGTTTCGGTATGTTTGTAGGTGCACTTACTACTTGAAGTCCTGTCGTTCAGTTAATAATATTTTTTAAAAAATTTAGGACATTTTGGAAATGGGGGTACGCTTCAAAAACCAAATGAGTTTTACTCTAACTCATGATATTATAGCAATAGCTGTGTGCAGGACTCTTAACTCAAAATTAAGTTTGATCCATAACTGTGCATAATTTTACGAGTCCAGACTTCTGGATGCAGGGTAAAATGGTAAGGTCCCAATTGGCTTTTGTTAATACAGCATGAAAAGTAGGGCTTTGAACATGGTACCACGTGTCTTTTGTACTCCATTAAAATGGCCTTTGCGTAAAATTTGCTGTATGGTTCATTTGCTCTGACATTTCGCCTATGATGGGCTCTAAATCTGTAATTTGAGCTGTTATGTGAGGACCCTGAGTGAGAGTATTTCATCTAATTCAGGTGCAAGGTCAGGAGTCGCACACAGAGGGTGAAGTTAGAAGCATGGTTACTATTACAGGTTTAAAATCATTCACTTTTTCAATAATAACCTCAATGGAGTTACACAATTCCATAGGTAAAACAAGGTTAAAAGTACAGCCTTCCTACCCCCCCCCCCCCCCCCCCCCCCCCCCCCCCCCCCCCCCCCCCCCCCCCCCCCCCCCTCCCCCCCCCCCCCCCCCCCCCCCCCCTCCCCCCCCCCCCCCCCCCCCCCCCCCCCTGGAATAAAAAGCGCTGGAAACGAGTGACACTGAGATCGAGTTAAATCAGTTATCAACACTAGTATAAAACCATATTACACACTTCCATAATTAACATTCCCACTGTGCCATTCATATCCTTCGGAATAAGGAGTATGTCACTTTCAAAACAAATTAAGACAAAAGTAACCTCTTTTAATGAAAACTTTAATAAAAATTGCCACCCCCCCCACCCCCCCCCCCCCCCACTATCACGCCTTGGTCCAAATAAAAATGTGCTGCCCTCTCGGTCTCGATTTCTTGTCTTACATCTACTCTTTGATCAAGATAACCTGATTGAATTTGGTCTGGAGTCCGTGAACTGTAACTGTAGAAGTCCATAAGTTTAATTTCGGAAGTTATGTTTTTGAACATAGGGCGCCTGTCTTCAAAAACCTGTAGTAGAGTAAGACCAAGGGTCCTATAACTACACGGCGGCCTTTCCCATTGGTGCCCTGTCTACTATGCTATCAATGAAATGTATGACTGGAGTTCCCTTCTGTAACCACGATACATTCATTCTTCTTGGATCAGGAAATAACTTATTAGCAAGCCTGCAAGGGAGCTATTACTTAGCCCAATCCGGTCCATACAAACTTCTGCAGCCGATGATGCACATCCGGCCTTTAGCTTAGCTAACGCATTGAGCCTGAGTGAATAAATATTTACCCCATAAAGGAGAATTAATTCTGCCAGATCGCTCTTTTTTTGTCCTCCTACATTGTTCTCTGTACACATACCTGTAGTTTGTGTTTAGTCCTTATTCCACGCTAATATCAGGAGGTATAAATACCCCTTCTGTGTAAAGCTCCTGTCCCAGTCCCCGTAACTGTTATGATGTCATCGTACCACATCGTCTTCGCACTCATCATTTTTCTGACTTTTTAAAACCAAAGTATTGTCCTTAAAGATAGTGAATGGACGCGTTTCCAAAACCAAATTAGTCTCCCCTCTTTGTGGTAGCAAAAGGGATTTACACGCATAAATCATTTTTCAAATTCAATGTATTGTTTTGTCGCCCTAAATAACACCAGCCAGTTGTCTCGCAAACGTTACAAAGTTTCGATTCCGACAAAACTGGTAACTCAATAATAACAAACCCATAAAACCTTTGGTCATAGCAGGGAAAGTTAATAATTAAAATAATGTTAATAAATGGTCTGGATCATCACAGTCTTTAGATCCATTCTGGCATCGACTAGGAAACACTTACAAACCCAAAACAAACCAGTATCTTTTGGGAAATTCCTTGGTAAAGCACTCTGTGCCAATCTACTGTCAGTTTAACTTTAGCACCAGTCAGGTATAACCAGGAATCAAGAGGGACTGAAAATAAGGACACATTTACTGTTTTATAACAGGGGCCAGAGTAGAGTAGAGTGGAGTTGGTGGTAAACGGTGCTAATTCCATAAATAAGCGTTCGTTGAACAGACTGATAATGTGAGAGAACCAGAACCTGCTGTGATTCTCGTACACTCACACCTCTGCAGATCTCCTGATGATTAGTCACAGGACCCAGGCTCCCCCCTTCATCTTCCTGTTGGCCTCAGTGGGCGGAGCCCTTCTGATATAATTGACCGGTCCTGAGCACTTAGGGTTCTCTATGGCGACCGCAATCGATGTTTGTCCTGAAGCATATGCAGTTCCTCCCACGGGAAAGAGCTAAAAAAAAGAGCTATTTCTCTCGAGATTTATACATTATCTATAAATACAAAACTAAGAAAGACAATAAAACTCTTTCCTGTCCTCCACTCAGCCACATCATCCAGTCCCTTGAGTGCATCCACTTTTCAACACCGGGGAGTTGAGATTCCAGGTCATATTTGGTCCTAAATCTCATTGTATAACATTGCGAGGAACTTTGGGTGACCTTGTTTGTGAAATAAACTCTAAGATTAAAGATTACTTGGAACTAAAACCGTTCAGCCACACTCGGCCCTTTGTAGGACCGGTTTGACACCGTCCTGGTTTATGTGAAGTTTTGATCATATTTTACTTCCGCTTCCGTCCCAATTTTCCTCTATTACTAGTCCTGACCCTTCTGTGCTGTGCACAAGCGCTAGAATCGGACATTATACACTTACCAAAGTTACTATGGTTACCAGGAGAGATTTATCAGCTACCCTCGACCACGATGTGACACTATAGCGTCTTTGGATTGTTGTGATGTCGCATGAAATCAACTGATTGGCTGACAACATGCAGAGCACCCATGGCAAGAAGATAGGAGCATTTGTAGAGCATTAAAAAACCTATTAGTACTGGTTAAAGTGGCTGACAATTTGCACATATTATTGTCTTAAAAATAAGTTTTAACCTTTCTTAACAAGATTTCATTCAAATGTACGCCAATAAAAAGAACAATCACAATTAAAAACCATGAATCCCATTTTTGATACATTTCAAATTGGAGGTATCTTTTATTGTCTCTTTTTAGCTTTCTTCCCTCACGTTTAGGCCAGAACTTCCTGATTTTGGTGTGGATGGACGGATAATACACCAACTCCAGGTCTATTTGCGATCAAGAGAAATTCTTACACAACATGCCTCTTTTGATTCAAATGCAAAAACCTGGATTCACGAGTGGAATAATGTTAGCGCAGTTCACCGTCTGAGTGGTTTGAGAGCTGACCCTCCACGCTCGAGGACCGGCGCTTCAAACACGGCTGGGGACAACAAATTGTACACTCATTATATGGGAGTTGAGATCAACAAATCAAAGTGGATTCTGATGTACGAGCAAGAGCATTAGTGTCGCATTGTGCGGTCGATCGCGCATTTTGATAGTGTTTTGTCACCGAGACTATCAAGCGACAATTGGGATTAGACCCCTGCAAATAACTCTTGTATGTAGTGATGGAAAACATACTGTTTTATGAAACCGGGAAAGAGTTGATCTGGTCACAATACCGTATGTGTACATTGATCAAGGCGCTTTTGGTGACCTTGGTTTGTGTTAAAAGCATTATATAAATAAAAGATCACTTACTTACTTACATATGTTTAAAATGTAGGAAGCCCCCACTTAAAAGTAAGATTTTGTGTTAACTATGAGTTTTCAATTTGTCATATTACACATGACAAATGCACTTAAAAACCCTTCTAACAGCCTTGATTCCAGGATCTAACAGCCCTCAGTCCTGGATCAAAGCCTTAGGTCCTGGTTCGAAAGCCTCAGTCCCTGGGATCTACAACCTTAGTCCTGATCTAGAGCCTTAGTCCTGGATCTAGAGCCCTAGTCCTGGATCGTACAGCCTCATACCTGTAATCAGAGCCTAAGTCCTTGATCTACAGCCTCAGTCGCTGGTCTACAGCCCTTAATTCCTGATCTACAGCCTCTTTCCTGATTCCAACTGTTTGATTCTCTACTCTGTTTTTGGTGAATCCAAAACTTGTAAAGTCCTCTTGACAACTGCTGTTGGGATTTAGGGCTGTACACAAATAAACATTGTTTTGTGTTCTAAGTATGTGTGTGGAGTTATTGATCTGACCGCTTCTGGACTCTTGGCGCCCGGGTCATGTGACAGATGTGACAGATGTGATGCCAGGGGAACCGGGATCGTCTTACAGAGCGGAAAGTGGCCGTAGCAGATGGGAACATTACGTCAGTGTTTAGAAGGTCTTTAATGAGATCAATATAGCTGCAACGTCTGTAGCAATTTCCTGATTAAGACATCCCCATATAATCATATCCCCAACCCAATCTACCCCAACTACCCAAAACCAATTCCAACAACCCCCTATTCCCCCCCCCCCCTTCCCCAATCAAATCCCCCCCCCACAAAACCCCCCAACCTCTCCCCCCAAACAATAATCAATACCTCAACTATAATAACCCCCCCCCCCCCCCCCCCCCCCCCCCCCCCCCCCCCCCCCCCAAAACAACACCCCAAATTAAATATTTTTTTTTTTTTTGTTTTTTTTTTTTTTTTTTTTTTTTTTTTTTTTAACATTTTATATTTTTTTTTTTTTTTTTTTTTTTTTTTTTTTTTTTATTTTTTTTTTTTTTTTTTTTGTTTGTTGTGTTTGGGTGGTTTTTGTTTGGTTTTTTTTTTATAGTTTATGTTTTTTTGTGTTGGTTTTTTTTTTTTTTTTGTTTTTTTTTTTTTTTTTTTTTTTATTTTTTTTATTTTTTTTTTTTTTTTACCAATTTCCCTTTTCACCACTTTTTTTTTTTTTTTTTCCCCCCCATTTTTTGTTTATGGTTTTTCCCCCCCCCCCCCCCCCCCCCCCCCCCCCCCCCCCCCCCCCCCCCCCCCCCCCCCCCCCCCCCCCCCCCCTTGGGTGGGGGGTGTGGTGTGGGGTGTGGTGGGGTTTGTTGTGTGGGGGTGTGTGGTGGGGGGGGGGGGGGGGGGGGGGGGGGGTGGCCCCCCCCCCCCCCCCCCCCGCCGGGGGGGGGGGGGGTTGTAAAAATTGGGGGGGGGGAGGGGGGGGGGGGGGCCCCCCCCCCACCCCCCCGGGGGGGGGGTTTTTTATTAGGCCCCCCCCCCCCGGGGGGGGGGGGGGGTGACAAGACACAGACAAATGTTCAAAGACTGCAGGTGATATTACACAGCATGAAGGAATGGAGAGCTCACGGTGCCAGTAGCTTCGGCTTCCATCCATCCATCCATTTTCTTCCCCTTAATCCATTTCTTGGTCGGGGGGTGGCCAGAGATGCCACCCAGTACACACAGCTCACCTCACTGATCCTCCTGGGGGCAGTGAGTCCACAGGAGGACGGCTGCTCTATGGCATAGCCTTGATCTTTCAGTTGGCTTCGGCTTGAGAAAACCAAAACAAGTGGAAAAGTACTGCCTTGTGCATAGTCAGACGGACAAACTCAGATTAAACCAAAAATGCTTCAAAGGTGTTATAAAAATAAAATATCCAAAATAGACCAAACTAATTTAGGAGCAATACTTTTGTGGTACAATGACATCATACTATTACAGGACTGAGACAGGAGCTTTTAGACAGAAGAGGCGGAGCTACACGTTTAAGCCAGAGGTTCGGGATATTAGCGTGGATGGATGTAGAAACACACTTAGGTCTCTTGCTAGTCTCTCTCTGGTCTCTCTCCGGTCTTTCTTTGGTCTCTCTCTGGTCTCTCTCTGGTCTCTCTCTGGTCTTTCTTTGGTCTCTCTCTTTGGTCTCTCACTAGTCTCTCTCTGGTCTCTCTCGAGTCTCTCTCTAGTCCATCTTTGGTCTCTCTCTCTGAAAATGTACCTATAGTTAAAAACAACTCAAAATAGTCTTTTTATTGTCATGGTGTAATGGAGGTGACCCAGAGGAGACGCAAGACTTTCAAAAAAGTATTTATTACAAGAATAAATGGAACTTCAGCAGGCAGGGTCTGGAACAAAGCGGGAACAAAAAGGGCAGGTAGAGACTGGAGCAGAACGGCTGACTAGAAACACAGGAAAAACAGGTACGTTTTTGTTCACAAAAAACAGATTCAAGATCAAATAGGCCGACTGGAAAAATCACCATCAATGACGGACAATCTGGCATCGACTGGCAGCAGAGCACAGCTTAAGTAGGAGGACGATTGAAACCATGAGCAGGTGAGCAGCTCCAGAACTCTACCCATGCACAGGAGGGGAGAGGGTGAGCAGCAGGATAGTTATACATGTATTAGTGCAATAGACTTAAAACTTCACAGGCCTCAGCACACAGCCTTGGGGGATCCCTGATGTTGCTGAAATGTGTCACCTCCGCCTCAAGTTTTTTCAATGAGAAAACTTCCAAAATCGTACGCAGTTTTTGTGTAAGGTCTGTGTTTGAAGAGAGAATAAGGAAAGTGTGTGTTCTTCTTTTAGCTGTTTGCATTTTTCTCAAGAATGTTTGAAAAATCCCTCCCCATCCTGGCCTCGCTTTGAACCCTACGAGTTGAGTCCCGTTCTCACCTCTGCACCGCTGTTCAGTTTCTGTCCCTGCTCCTCTGATCTGCCGACAGGAGAGTGAATCTAAAGACACAGGGCCAGTTGTGGTCGCAGTAGCAGCTGTCTGTCGCACTGGGACCTCTGACCCAGCACTGCTAACACTAACCCGAGTGCTGACGTCACCATAGTGTTTCTCACATAAGCAAGCTGGAGCCAATTTCCTTATATGGACATGTCTTCTGCCGCTTATAATGTTATATACAATGAACCATTGCCAAGACTGTCAGCTCTGCATTTAACCAGTACACCAGAAGCCAAATCTCTTCAGTTCAATTCAACTTATGTTTGTAAAGCCCTAAATCACAACAGTAGTTTTCCTCGGAGGTTCTTGTGTTTGAACTGTTTGATTCTCTGATCTGTGTTGGCAAATTCAGCAGTTTTGTAAACACAAGAAATTGATTTGTTTTTAAACACATAGAGCCAAGGGTCCATAAGAGGCAGAGGACCAATGTCCATAAATGTTGATGAAGTCCATACATTTCTCTGGATCACCACTGTCCTTAGACCCTCCTGCATCAGCAACAGACAAATGAATATAACTTACACATGGTTCCCATTGTCTATGGTTCCCATCGCCTAGCTCAGAAACCATTTGTGTCACACTCACAATTTGGATTGTGATTTTTTATCTGAACTTATTTGCTGGTTTTACATCCACAAATAAACATGTTTTTCTCAATCACTGGTCCATGGGAATGTTCTGGATTCTCAGGTTTAAGGATCTTCAACGATCGTCAAAACATTTTTGAGTCATCTCCAAATGTCCCCGGCTCTGTGACCATGTAAGGCAGTGATGGACGGCTCTGGAGAACCTCATGTCTCTTTGAGGGAACAGCGCCAGAGAGATAGCACTGTTGGGAGTAGTGTACTGTAATGTTTGCGGTTACGCAGTAATGTAAGGCATTACTAAAAAGGGTAATATCTACTCTGTACAAAGGGCAGTAATTTGCGCTACAGTGCATTTTAACCCAGAAGACTTTTTTAATACTATGCCACCGCAATCTCAGCAGTGGTGAAAAAGTGCCAATTGTAGCTGTTATGTACAGATAAAACAAAAAGATCTCCTCTGGTGAAAAACGACACGAGTTTCAAACGGCTTAATTTATTATCTACCTGGGGCCTGTAAGTTCTGGGCCAGTTCTGGACTGGGTATTTTTGTAGGAGTCAAAGATGTGGAACAGAACAGTGCACTTTATATGCCGAACCAAAAGTAACTTAAAAGTAATGCAGATATAGTATAATTTGTTACAATTCAGACTACTACTAAAAACGTGTACAAAAGGTAAAATCATCCAGCTCTGATCCAGATCTGGAGGATCAACATCTGGAGATGGTCCTGGGTGCTGCACTTCGGCTCTGGTCACTCTCTGGTCTCTCTAACTGGTCTCTCCAACTATTCTCTCTCTCTGGTCTTTTTTATGACATATTTCATTTTTTTCTGGTTTGAAAGTTAGCTACAACAGCTTGAGGAGCACCCAGCCTCTTGTCCAGTTTCCCAAAGCTCGTATTTCCCTTATTTACCTCCTCATTACTGTGCATACATTCATCCCACATAAAAATCTATACTTTCCATCTCTGTCCTTTGGGACTTATTCAAATAATGAGTGTGTGCTGGTTCGTCTGCAGTCTACAAGCGATTAAAACAGCAGCCAAAGTCAGCATCGGGAATAATTGTATGAGAAAACGTCTTGTTAACAGTTAATGGACTCCTAATGTTGATTTGATTGTAACAGTTTTCCCATGGAGAAAACTCAGCCTGGACGTGTAATGGCTCAATCAGATGTCTGAGTATTTCACGTATAAAACTGTGTGTGATTTTGGAAGGAATAGTGGAGACAATGACACGTTTTAGGGATCCCCCAAGGCTGCGTGCTGAGGCCCCTGAAGTTCTAAAGGCAGCCTCAGTCCTGGATCTACTGCCTCAGTCCTGGATCTAGTTTCAGTCCTGGATCTACAGCCTCAGTCCTGGATCTAGTTTCAGTCCTGGATCTACAGCCTCAATTCTGGATCCACAGCCATTTGTGGTCAGTCGTTGTCCCGCTCTGCTCTATGTGTTTGTTATTTTGGCAATTTGGCGTTCAAACTGTTTGATTCTCTGATCTGTTGTTGGTGAAGGAGAGAGGAGAGAGACTAAAGAGAGAGAGAGAGACCACCAGCCAGAGGTCAGAGAGACACCAGAGGGAGTGACTAGAGAGAGAGACCAGAGAGCGACCAAAGAGAGACCTGGGAGGGAGCGACCAGAGATGGACCAGAGACCAAAGAGAGACTAGAGAGAGGCCAGAGAGAGACCAGAGAGACACCAGAGAGAGACCTAGGAGAGAGACCAGAGAGAGACCAAGGAGAGAGACCAAAGAGAGACCAGAGAGAGGCCAGAGAGAGACCAGAGAGAGACCTAGGAGAGAGACCAGAGAGAGACCAAGGAGAGAGACCAGAGAGAGACCAGCGAGAGACCAAGGAGAGAGACCAAAGAGAGAGACCAGAGAGGATGAAGTAAAAAAGCTGTCCCAGATGGGTGAGGGTTAGTGGAATCAAATGCTGTTGAGAAGTGGGGGATGGAGAGTTCTGATCAGGGTCAGTAGTATCTGTTGTAGAACGCACAATAATAACAAAATAGAACGCACAATGATGAAAAATAGAACGCACAATGTTTTTACGATAAATCACTGTGCTTCACTGTGGTCAGTATTACGCAGAAACAATTGGACATTTCTTTCGTTGTTGCAAACTCAGCTTCGCTCATGAAAACAGCCCATTAAAAGCAGTCATTACTTTTATGAGGCATTCTGTCTAATTGAGGTTCAAGTCAATAAACCAATTTCCAACCTCCCCCTGCACTGATCAGCTCTGTCTCCCAGTCTCCTACTTGCACAATTTATGTTTAAAAAAATGCCTTTTCTAAATTCTATTCTAAAACATATAGAATGATAATCCCCTTCCACTTTCATTCCTTACAGTTATTTCTGCTCCAGAGTCAGCACCTACATCAAACTCTCTGTTGTTTTCATAATCGACGTCTCTCCTCCAGATGTTCGGAGTCTCCCCCGGCCTTCTCGGGTCTTCAGCCCAGACTAGATAAGACCAAAGCCACAGCTCGGCCCCAGACACCAACACAAACAGCCAGGTTCAGACAGAAACATCTCGAGAACGTGGTGCTTCCAGCGGCCGTCTCGCATCCAAAGACTGCTTGTTCTAAACCGCAAGTGGAGACGAGTGCCCCGGTAAGTAGTGCCAGATGAGGGTTTAAAATGTCAGCCCCACAGTCTTCGAATGTGGGGCCACAGAATCTGGGGTTTCAGCACATTGAAGTGGACACTACATGGAAAAATGTGAGTTTGCTGCTGGAGACATGTGTTGAAGCCATGGCATGAATATACTGTAAATAGACAATAGATAACTTGCTTGAAAATCAAAAACAATCAAGGGTGCAGTTATTAGGCAGATTGTAAGTACAGTAAGTCTGTATTGTCCATCTATCTATTTTCTTCTGCTTTATCCGTTGCCGGGTTGTAGGGGCAGCAGTCTGAGCAGAGATGCCCAGACTTACCTCTCCACACACACTTCTTCCAGTTCATCAGGGATAATTCGGAGGTGTTCCCAGGCCAGCTGAGAGACACATTTATTTCAGGTGTGTCCTGGGTCTTCCCCCGGACTCCTCCAGTTGGGACCTCAACTGTCCCCTGCCAATGTGGAGAAGCAACGGCTCTACTCCGAGCTCCTACCGTGTGCCTTAGCTCTTCCCTCTATCTCTAAGGGAGCGTCCAGCCACTCTGCAGAGGAAACTAATGTGTTCTGCTTGTATCCGCGTTCTCGTCCGTACGATCATTACCCATAACTCAGGACCAGAGTTGAGGGTGGGGTTGTAGACTTAGCTCTGACTGCAGACGCTGCTCCCTCTTCACCACAGTCTGATACAGTGACCGCATTCAAGGTGTGTTATATATTGTGTCTATTTGTAGTTAAGCTAGACCATTTTATCTGTATTTAAAATGCTAACTAGGTCATTCTCTGGATTGATTTTTTGCCCCCGTGTAAACTTGCTCTCACTTTGCCTCTCCTCAGGAAACAGGGATGAAAATGAGCTCATGGCCACTGTTTGTCCGATCTGTACAATACATTTATTGCGCAATGTCCCTGTCAACTAAATATATTTATAAAAGATTTTTTTTATGTAAGATTTTGCATATCTTACGAGTGGTAGTTCATCAATACAAATTATATTTTTTTATTATACTAGTTTCTCAGAGGACTTCGCAAAACCGTCCATTCACAAAGACAGATCAGAGAATCAAACAGTTCAACACAAGAAATGCAATGACAAAAAACACGTAGAGCCATTGGTCCATAAGAGGCGGATGGCTTGGACCAAAGAATTCAGTTTTAACTTTTAATATTTGCTTACGGTATGCTATCGTGCAAGAACAGGGGTAAAATAAGCATTCCTTTAAAAATGAAACAGAAATTAAGCTGTCATAGTGTGGATTTTTACTTACTTTCTACTGTTTTTTTTTTTTTTTTTTCCTGGACTTTTTATTTAATTGTCTTCATTTAGTCATTTTTTGCATTCCTGCATTTTGGGTCACCGACATCACTCATAATAACTTACACAGGGCCACGCCATAGTCTCATCACGTTAGACTTTATTCACAGCTCTCTCTTATTCATGTACAACAACAGCTCTTTGGATTATTTTACACTGAGGAAGAAGCGAGGGCTAGACCTCCCAGCAGGGTCGGTACACACGCCCCACCATACACCGCATCGTGTCCCGTCTGAGGATAGGGATGCTGAGGTCCTGGTGCTCCTCCTCCGCCCTCCTCTTGAACAGAGCTGTCCCAGTGTGGAGCGACCGGAGCCCCTGCCACAAGCCGGGGTCTCCCACCACAATGACCCTGGGCGGACGCGGCTTTGTGCTCAGCTGCCAAAGAAAAAGACAAATGATAAACATGGATGTCTCGTCGTTAGAACTTCCGTTGATTTTCTATAAAACCCCACTTTAGTGTAACAAACTCTCTTGGGTCTCTTTCTCTTCTCTCTCCAGTCTCTCCCAGGTCTCTCTGGTCTCTCTCTGGTCTCTTTCTAGTCTCTTTCTGGTCTCTCTCCAGTCTCTCTCTGGTCTCTCTCTGGTCTCTTTCTAGTCTCTTTCTGGTCTCTCTCAAGTCTCTCTCCCAGGTCTCTCTCTAGTCTCTCTCTCTCTGGTCTTTCTCTGGTCTCTCTTTGATCTCTCTCTGGTCTCTCTCTGGTCTTTCTCTGGTCGCTCTCTGATCTGTCTCTCTGGTCTCTCCCTGGTCTTTCTCTGGTCTCTCTTTGGTCTCTCTCTGGTCTCTCTCTAGTCTCGCTCTGGTCTATCTCTCTGGTCTTTCTCTGGTCTCTCTCTGATCTGTGTCTCTGGTCTCTCTCTGGTCTCTCTCCCCCGCTCTCATTGGTCGGAGCAGAAGTAGAAGTAGAACCGTTGCAAACCTATTGCACAAGACCGGGAGAACCAGAGCCAAAGCAAATTTGAACCAAACTTCGTCCATGAGCACTTCCCTATTGGGCTTCATTGAGCCAGCTGATTATCATTGTCTTTCTGTATACAGTCTATGTGTCGTTATGCCCCATGAGTGGAGACTTAAAACCCAAAACCATGTGTCTGTCCACTGCACGATCAGGATGCTATCTGGACCTGCCTGATCTTCTGACTCTAGAACTAAACTATGTCGACTACAAGCACAAAAAAACAGCTATAATTATGGAAGAAGTAAATTGAATCTCGTAATAACTTGAAGCTGGGGAACCTAATTTACAAGCCACAGAAATGTCAACTATGTAATAAAATCCATTCAAATTCCTGGCTCTCAAAACAGCTTGGTCATGAGCTCGTAATTGGCTTTTTCAGACTGAGACGTGCAAAAATAGAGGACCGCCCTCACTAAGCCAATCAGCTCTCAGCCCAAAGAGTCAAATAGTGACTCACAGGTACGTATTCTTACAAGTTTACCATTTTCTGATAAGATGAAGATGAAGCATGTTGTGGGTTTGTATTTTTTCTCAACATTGTACGCTCTCTGTCTATATTGTTATGTAAGTATTTCAATATCATTTCTCCATAACCATAGATTTGTTCAACCGATACCAGGTCCTTCTGTAGTCCCTCTTGGCCCTGGTTCTTTCCAGGCCGAACTGTTCTAACAGTGTCAGTAGTTTGTTTTGGGTTGGTTACTAGGATACAATACCAGATACTAAAGAGTGGAGTATAATCGGGTAGAGCAAAGGTAAATAGAATAGAGAAGAGCCAAGTGGGGTGGTGTAGAGCCGAGTAGAGTAAAGTGGAGTAGAGCAGAGCAGAGTCGAACCGAGTGAGTAGTAGAGTAGAGTAGAGTCGAACCGAGTACAGTAGAGTAGAGTAGAGTCAAACCAAGTACAGAAGAGTAGAATAGAGTAGTAAGTAAGTAAGTAAGTAATCTTTATTTATATACCGCCTTTCACAGACCAGAGTCACAAAGCGGTATACAATTGTTATTATTTTTGGGCACTTGTCTCTCACTCCAAACAGAGATGGGAGCGGGGGTCACCGAACAGGAGGCGCATGCCAGACCTATTGTACATATTTTCAGTGGTAGGGGAAACCGGAGCACCCGGAGGAAACCTACGCAGACACAGGGAGAACATGCAAACTCCACTCAGAAAGGCCCTGGTCCGACCGGGATTCAAACCCAGGACCTTCTTGCTGAGAGGCGAGAGTGCTATCCACTCAGCCACCGTGCCGCCCAGAGTAGAGTAGAGTAAAGTAGAGTAGAGTAGAGTAGAGTAGAGTAGATCAGAGTAGAGTAGAGTAGAGTAGAGTAGAGCAGAACAGAACAGAGCAGAGTAGAGTAGAGTAGAATAGAGTTAAGTAGAGTAGAGCAGAACAGAGCAGAGTAGAGTAGAGCAGAGTAGAGTAGAGTAGAGTAGAGCAGAGCAGAGTAGAGTAGAGTAGAGTAGGGTAGAGTAGAGTAGAGCAGAGTAGAGCAGAGTAGAGTAGAGCAGAGTAGAGCAGAGTAGAGCAGAGTAGAGTAGAGCAGAGTAGAGTAGAGTAGAGCAGAGTAGAGCAGAGTAGAGTAGAGTAGAGTAGAGTAGAGCAGAGTAGAGCAGAGTAGAGTAGAGTAGAGCAGAGTAGAGCAGAGCAGAGTAGAGCAGAGTAGAGTAGAGCAGAGTAGAGCAGAGTGGAGCAGAGTAGAGTAAAGTAGAGTAGAGTAGAGTAAAGTAGAGTTGAGCAGAGCAGAGTAGAGCAGAGTAGAGTAAAGTAGAGTAGAGCAGAGTAGAGTAGAGTAGAGTAGAGTAGAGCAGAGCAGAGTAGAGTAGAGTAAAGTAGAGTAGAGCAGAGTAATCTGGGCCTCACCTCCACTTCGCTGAGGTTGGTTTCGCTCAGGTCGTCGCCCAGCAGAGAGGCCAATGTTTCCTGAGATCCGTCGTCCTTGCTCATGGGCACAGCGGCAGAGACGTTACAGCACTCCAGGATCAGAGCCGCCACCAGGACCCACGACAACCACTTCTCCATCATCCTCGACTCTGGCTCCAGTTCGATCTGTTGGACTGAGATGGAGGTTTCTTTGGCTTTTATGCTTCCTGGTTCCCGGTCCTGGTCTTTTATAGCGAGAGAGACAGACGCGTGGACGGAAGTATTTTCTCTCATTTAATTATTTACGTTAAAAAAGGTGTTGGGAAAATCCTGCTGGTTTTGAAGAGAGCTTTGCGTTGTCTTTGTTGAAATCTGTGATCAGCCTGGTACAATAGACTCATCAGTTAACGTGAATGAAGCAGCAGGAGGTCTCCGGAAGATCTAATCCTAATGGAGAGTTCTCTTAAGTCGAAACATGAAAACGATGACGTGGTTGGTGTTAGATGGTCCTGTGGCGATGGTTCAATTCAATTTTACGTAGCCCTACATCACAACAGCAGCTTTTCTCGGAGGACTTTACAAAGTTATGGATTCGACAACAGCAGATCAGACAAAAACAGTTAGAACAACCCCTAACCCTACACCCTAACACCCTAACTACTACTGTAGCCACAGCTGCCCTGAGGCACACCAGACTCACTTGAGGCAATGCAGGTGAAGCGTCTTGCCAAAGGACACAACAGCAGTTTTGCACTTGGCCCGCCTGTCACACCTGGTGTTCCCAGAGGTCTCCCATCACAGTATTGACCAGGCCCTGCCTTGCTTCGCAACAAAGCTCGTGGTCACGCCACGATTATTTCACATTCTAGCATGAAAAGACAAAGTAAACAGTCTGATTATCATGTTTTAAATCCATATACAACACATATCATATGTGTTTTTAAAGCTGGGAAGGTTTACACTGGGTACATGTGTCTTATCCTTTCCTTCTTGTTGTTTTAGTAGAAAGTTGAATGTCACAAAGAGTAAAGTATTAAAAACTTCCCACTGACTCAGACAGAGCTATAATACGTTTGTGTTTGGAGTGTCTTCGGCGGAAAGAGCAAATGAGAGACTTCCGGAGCTCATGGATCCTCAAACTCCGTGAGCTCTTTGAAAAGTGAAGACAAAGCTTTAATGAACGCCCTTTTAGACAAACCCAGGGGATTAAACACCTGCAAAGCCTCTTCCAGCGCGTAATCCGCCACGCTGCTTTGTTTGTGGAGAGATTACCGTGGGATTAGGACCGACGGTGTGGTCCTACGAACACAGGAGGCTGGAGGCTGCTCTGGAGATGACCCGGCTCCGTCACAAGTGGAAACCGATAATACTGAAGTTTAAGGAAGAGCCTCAGAGCAGGAGAGACGACAAAGCTCTTGTTAATGAGTAAAGTTGGCTTTTGTAAATACATACAACACTAAGACAGAGATCTACCTTTTTATTTTCATGCTATGATTTCAATGTATCCATGTGGACTTGATAAGATAAGATTCACTGTGAAGAAGTTGACATACATTTGTCTTCTATAAGTTGAAAAACTTTGAGTGATCTTATTGAAGACAAAGAGAGGAATTGGGCAAACATGTTAAAAAGTGAAAAAGCTAAAGGGTTATGTGCAAAAAATACACATGATGTACTTTTAAAAAGTGACTGGGGCAGTGCAAACTTTGCACTCAAAGTGCAGGTGGTCATCAAGTGACTTATTGTACAGTCTGACAGTGGTGGGTATAAGGCATAAGGCATGTAGCATGACCCGCAAGTTCAATGAAACACAAAGTGCTCACTGACAAAGTTCTTCTCCAATTCGCTCTGGCTCTGACTGAGTAGCCCCGTTTCCACCAGCCCTACTTACCCCTACCCTACTCTTCCCTACCCTTCCCTACTCTACTCTACTCTACTCAGCTCTGTTCTGCTCTCCTCTTTTCTACTCTATTCTACTCTGCTCTACTCTACCCTACTCTGCCCTACTCTATTCTACCCTACTCTACTCTACACTACTCAATTGTGCTCTACTCTACCCTACCATACTCTACTCTACTCTACTTTACTCTACTCTACTCTACTCTACTCTACTCTACTCTACTCTACTCTACTCTACTCTACTCTGCTATACTCTACTCAACCCTACTATACCCTGTTTGGGAGTGTTGCCATTGGTCTCTGGTTTCACTCTGGTCTCATCCCTGCTCTATCTCTGGTCTCTCTCTCTGGTGTCTTACCAGTGCTAACCAGCCTTTAACCCACTATTTGAAAACGCCCTCATTGAGTTAAGTTACAGCATAAAATGTAAAAACTCTTGAGTAACACTTCGGACGACTTCAAAACAGTGGAATAAATCTGGTTCTTGGTGACAGCTCGAGAGTGAATATTAGCAGAGTCAACACTCACTTTCACAGTCGGCCCACATGTCCCTGCAGGTTATTAGTACAACACGTCTGCGGGAGAGATGTCCAGATTACAAGCCCTCGTTGCTGGATGCCAACCACAACAGCACCAGGCTCCCAGTGTGAACCAGGGGCCACAGACCTCCACCCATCCCAGCTGAGTCAACAACCTCTGGGACCGACTCACTGCTGGTCTGCTGGAGCTCTAGTGTTACCCGTCGTGGAGGAGTTTTATTTGAGAGTTCTGTCCAGTTCGAAGCATGTGTGAATGTGGCTGTTGATTTGAAATGTTAACATTCTCTGGTCTCTCTCTGGTCTCTGGTCTTTCTCTGGTTTATCTCTGGTCTCTCTGGTCTTTTTCTGGTCTTTCTCTGGTCTCTCTCTGGTCTCGCTCTGGTCTATCGCTAGTCTCTCTCTTTCTCTGGTTACTCTCTGGTCTTTCTATGGTCTCTCTCTGGTAATTCTCTATTTTTTCTCAGGTCTATCTCTGGTCTCTCTCTGGTCTCTCTCTGGTTTCTCACTGTTCTATCTCTGCTCTCTCAATGGTCTCTGATATCTCTCTCTCTGGTCTCTCTCTCGTTTCTCACTCTTCAATCTCTGGTCTCTCACTGGTCTCTGTATATTTTATATCTGGTTTCTCTCTCTCTGACCTCTCTCTGGTCTCTCTCTATTCTATCTCTGGTCTCTGGTCTCTCACAGGGCTCAGAGTTTTAAAATGTAGTAAAATCTGGGATACGTAAAATATTGTGTTTAATATATACAGTAATACGTTTTGAAAAAGTCTCTCGGTTGTCTCTGGTCTCTGTTCTATCTCTGGTCTCTGCTGTGGTCTCTCCTGACAATACATATATATGATGTATGATGTTTATAATATGAAGACATGGACAAATCAATAAATGTCTGCCTCTCTCTGGTCTCTGCTCTATCCCTGGTCTCTCTGTGGTCTCACCAAAACTAACCCACTATTTAGCACTATTTAGCATAAAAATGGAAAAACTTGTTATGTTTTGTTTGTTTTCTATCTCTTGTGCGTATAAACATGGATGTGGGCGATAATATCCACATTTAGAGGCATTGGACCTGCACATAAAACCTGGTCACCTCATGTGGAGAACAGAGCAGAGGAAAGACCACTGAAGCCGTCCCCATGGAGACCAACATCAAAAACATCAAGTTCTGTGGATGTAATAATTAGTGTGTGCCGATGAGCCAGTAACGCCAATTAGGTTTCACTGGAAAACGCAGGAATGGTCACCCCTTAAAAATTCTCATCGGAATGTTTATTACAGCGGTTACCAAGATTTTAGCAAAATTCTTATACTGTTAATGATGATAATAGTAATAATAATAATGCATTCGTTTTAAATAGCGCTTTTCAGGACACTCAAAGACGCTTTACATGTCTTTACTTTTGAATGAAACGGTAGGAAGTCCCTGAAACAGCTGTTGTTTTTGTGCTTTACAATTTTTTTTTTTATTGCTTTTTTGTTGCTGCAGTACAGTGTTCATGGTTTTGCACTGGTCCAGACCAGAGCAGAAAGAATTCATATTCCACACCCAGCGGCTCAGACAAAGATCCACTGGAGGAATGCTAATTTTTGAAAAATGCTAATGAAGCATTCAGCATTTTACTTTGGACTAGAGCAGAGAAAATAGTCCCAACCAAGCGCCTTCTCCACCTCTTTTATTATTACTGTGAGCTTTTTAGAATCATCAATTCATTTGTTTTGTTTGTTTGGATGGATGCAGCTACTGGAGACCTGAATTTCTCCTACAGGGATCAGTAAAGTATCTATCTATTATTCTTTCACTCCATATACGGTGGTAATATACTTCTACTACTACTAGTGTTATGTTATTGGCCCCTCCCACAATCTTTACAATCTTTATTCGTCCCACAGTAGGAATGAGGACCACACAACACAAGATAAATGAACAATAACTCTGTACTAAAATTTTAAAAACATCTGTAACTTTAGCATAATAAAGAAGCAAGGGTAGATTATTGCACAAATAAGTAAAGTAAAGTGACAGTGGACACGTGTATAGTTTCATATCGCACATTCTGAGGTGTAAGATCAAGGTGAAGTTGCTGAAACATTGCTTTAAATTGCTATAAAATCACATATCATTTCAGAATACTTCCGTTCAGTAGACGACAGTGCTCTCTTTGAGTTGGACAGAGGTTTGTGGATGGGAGACCGTGATGAGTGAGGAGCCGCAGCCTTTCAGTATCTCAGCAACTGTATTGGCTTCTGGTCATTTCCACGGAAACAAGAGATGGAAAAATTTAGCTCCAACTGTATATGAATAAAAGAAGCGGTGATAATGCTGTTCCCGTGTGTGGAATAGCAGAATCGGAAAACATTTGTTTGCCATTTGCAGTCGTAAACAACTCTGGAATAGATTGTGTCTCTTGTTTCGATTTTTTGCTCTATTCTACTGTGCTCTCCGCTACTCTACTCTACTCTACTCTACTTTACTCTATTCTACTCTACACTCCTCTACTCTAGTTTCTTCTATAATCTACTCTACTTTCCTCTCTTCTATACTCTCCTATCCCCTACTATTTTTCTCCTCACCTCAACTCTATACTCTTCTTTATTCTACCCTATACTTTCCTCTCCTCTATACTCTCCTCTACTCTTCTCTCCCCTACTGTACTCTACTGTACTCTACTCTATATTCTACTCCACTCCACCCCAATTGGGCGCATTTCGACTCTTGGCCCAGGTTCAAATCCAGGTTGAGCTGCACGCAAGTGTTTTAACTGACAGTGATTGGCCAGAGTGCGGCTGGAAGCTACAGTTACCAAGGAATTTCCACGGATACTGGTTTGTTGTGGGTAGGTTGCTTGGATACTAAAGTGTAATTGAAACACAACCAGGTAGACCTGAGTAGAGCCGAGTAGAATAGATCCATTGTGGCCTTGGTAAATAGTGGAGAGCCAAACAGAGTGTTGCAGGTTTTTCAACACATGTTTTGAGTTCTTGAGCTTGTGTCTTAAGTCAAAAACAAACACTACCTCTGGCTCTGAGTGTGTGTGTGTATATGTGTGTGCGTGCCTGTGTGTGTGTGTGTATCTCTCCTCCTCCGCTTTAGTGTTAATGGTTGTCAGCTGGATGGCATCATCTCAGACCAAAGGCCCCTGGGTCTCCATATTCAACCTGTCCTCTGGCACTCATTCATAAAACAGTGTTCATGTGGCAGAAGCAGCAAATCATGGACCTGCTTTATCACTGATGCCAGATGGATGCACATCATCAATAATGCAGAGAAGTAGATGCAGCTGTCCACAGTCCAGGCATACAGTACATACAACAAAATATAAACACATACCATGAGAAATAACCACAAATATTACAAGCCAAAACCTGGGTCAGAAACAGTACAAGAAGTAGTTGTAGTAGAAGCAGCAGCAGTAGCAATAGTAGTAGTAGTAGTAGTTGTTGTTGTTGTAATTGCAGCTGAGCAGTTGTAGTGGAGTAAGAAGTAGTACAAATAAGGCAGCTTCGAAATAGTGTGAAGAATTTTAATTAAGGGGGAAATAAAGCTAAAATAAATAATAAATACACCTGAGATATATTGGTTGAATAATTTATGTTTATATAGTATTTTTTATCATGTTGTACCTTTTTAGTAATTCATTTATTGAACTTCGGGTCTGAAAAGTTTGACGGTTGCCACGGCGACACTTCCGTAGCTGTTGCTAGGTAAACATCTTTCACGTCTCTCCTCTGTGCGCGTGGAATCAGCTGCGGTTTCTCACTGAAATAAAGTGTTAATAATATTAGAGAATGAGTGAACCCGAGGCAGCAAAGAACGTGGCTTCCTCCAACTCTGCAGATGAGGTAGGGGTGTTTTTCTAACTTTTATCTGAAAGAAATATTGCTAACACTATTCATATTGTTAAAAGTTAGCGCGCTAGTTTTTACGGCTATTTGAACGTTAGCCGATTTTTTGGGGGGAGGGGCGTATTCTCTTGTTGTTTTTGTAGTTTTGACATGAAGCAACACAGTTTATAATTGTGCTAATTTTTTATGAAGATCAAAATGACAAAGCAAAAGAGAAGAGAGTAGAACAGCAAAACGCAAAGGTGTTAATTCCTATGTAAACACAGTTCATAAAGTGTGATCATAACATCGGGAAATTTGACCTTAATTTAAAATATCTGATACCTCCACTCCACCTACTCTCACTGACGTCCCTGGGCAAGAAACTCACCCTCACTCTGCTTGAAGCTCCCTGCTGAGAGACCACGGCCTCCCTTCTGTGTCCCTACTCCCTCCTGTGTCCCTCCTGGGCTGGTGTTCTGAAGGTTGCCCGTCTGATCCAGAAATTGATTGATAAAGGGGTTATAAATTAATGAACCAGTGACAAACCAATGTGATAAATCAGTTTTATATGACGGCTGTGTGCAGAAGCGGCAGATACAGCGACACGGACACCCCGGCCTTTTGTCCCTGGAGCCCGGAGCCAAGATGGAGGACACAACCACAGTGAAGGCCACGTACATCCACCACCAGAGCCCAGGGGTCCGGCTGAAGGGTCGGGGAGACTCCTGCACTCGCATTCATTCACCTATTTACAAACACACTCTCTCTCTCTCATACTCTGCAATAAGATGAAAGGTTGTCAGTAAAGTAATATTTGCAAATAATGTATTCACGCTTAAAGCTGGGGTACCTAAACCAAGCGCCCTACTTGGTCCTTCTCTACTCTACTCTACTTTACCACAATTGGGATTTCCACTAGCCCTGTTTAACCAGTGACAGGTCCTTCTTTTGTTCCTCTTGGTCCTGGTTCTATCCAGGCTGAGTTAAAATGTTCTAACTGACAGTGATTGGCCAGAAAGCTGCTGGTAGGCATGGTTACCAAGGAATGTCCCCGGATACTGGTTTGTTGCGAGTAGGTTGCTAGGATACAGTACCAGATACTAAAGCGTAATGGAATGTCAAACAAGTAGAGTAGGTTGTCAGTAACCTGACAACCTACTCTATCTGCCAATTCTGGCAGATTGTTTCTGCCAGAATAGTACTGGCAGAAACAATCTATTTCTTTGCTCTAAAACAGTTTTGTTGTGTCTCTAGTTTCATCTATTTCTGACCTCTGATACATCTTTAGATTTAATTTCTCAGGCAGAAATATGAAAAAGACAAACCACCCTCACTCAGCTAATTAGCGCTAAAGAGCCAAATAGTCTTTTTAGTGTTTTTATTGATTTTATAAATTGATTATATATTTCCTATTTTAATTATTTATACCATTTGTGATGACTATTTTTTATTCTATTTTATTGACTGGTTGAGCTACATGGAGTTTTTTGTGTACTTTTCTTTTTTTTTTTGTGCAGCACTTGCAGAACTGTTCTGTTGTTTAAATGTGCCATAGAAATAAAGTGGATTGGATTGGAATAGTGACTCACAGGGGTCACAAAATATTACAAGTGTTCTCAAAGGGTAAAGACAGCATGTCTTTTACTTCTGTTGGGACAAACAGAACAAAAAGTGAGGTACCCCAGCTTTAACAATGAAAGAAGAAATACTAATAATTTATCTGTTTTGGACACTCAAAGACGCTTCACATGTCATTATTCTTTCACTCCATACACAGTGGCGATAACCTACTACTGTAGCCACAGCTGCCCTGGGGCACACTGACAGAAGCGAGGCAACCAGTATGTGCCATCGGCCCCTCCGACCACCACCAATCATTCACACACACACCAGAGTCATTCTAGGCAATGGGGGTAAAGTGTCTTGCATAAGGACACAACGGCAGTTTGGCACTTTACAGCCGCCCCACTGTGGCACCTGGTGTTCCCAGAGGTTAAGTGTCTTGCCAAGGACACAACGACAGCAGACAGTGGGAGTTGATGGTGAAAGTCGGGCTCGAACCCACAACCCTCTGGCTCAAAGGCCAATGCTCTACCAACTTAGCTACTGTCGCCCTAAAAGCCCTAAAAAGCTTTTAGAATAAGAAATATGGAGTAAAATGGTGATAACATGCACATATTTTTACTGATTGTAGCGACTTGAGCAGAATGCCTTGGGGCCAAAAGTGAATGCTCAAAGGCCTTTGTTTTGCTGGGGGCCATAGTTTGGACAAAAAACAAAATGATAATCAGGAGTTTAAAAATATGTGTAAATTTGTAATAATTATTTGTGTAAAACTGGGTCTGCATTCACATCCTTCTTCCTTGTTCTACAAAAACCTTAATGATACATCTTTTGTCCAGTGAAAATAAATACAGTTTGAAACAAAGATGTATATTAAGTTTTGATTAAGTATTGATTCCTATTGTATTCATCGAGACGTGTTTGTTGAATTTGGGTGCAACCAAAATCAAAACACAGGCAGAAGAAACAGGTAAACAACACAATTAAGACATATTTGAAAAGAAAAGAGCAGATACACTGGTTCGGTCGTGTCTGATTGACCAAACTAAAAGAAAAAGAGCGACATGTACACGGCGGGGCCCACTGCTCTGCACTGATCCCATTCACTGGAGAAAATGAAGTGGAGTGGCAATTATTTGTTGAGTAGCGCAGTGGAACAGAAGCCTCCGTGTTTATCTGAGTGATTGAAGCATAAATGAATACAAGAAGGATTTGTGCCTCACGGTCTCCTCTGCTTCAGGACGGAGAGTCGAGCTGTTGGAGAAACTCATCGCTCACGACACCAGGTGAGCTCTTCGCTTCTTAATGCACAAAAACATCATTCATTGATTATGGCAATTGCACAAGAGCAAAAAACCATTCTTGTCACAAACAGGAGCAAAAATAACACTCTCCTGTATCTGTGCTGTACTAGTGTGATGTCATTTTGCCACTATAGCCTTGTTTCCACCAGCCCTGCTGCCTAATACTTGACTCAACTCTGCTCCTATTAGCAGCGTTTCCATCGTACCACATACTTTTACCTTACCTACTCGGCCCTGGTTCTGTCCAGGCCGAGCTGGTACTAAAGTGTTCTAACTGACAGTGATTAGCCAGAGTGCTGCTGGAAGCCACGGTTAGCAAGGAATGTCCATGGATACTGGTTGGTTTTGGGTGGGTTGCTCAGACACGTTGAGCCGAGTAGGGTAGGGCCAAGTCGGGCTGGTGAAAATGGGGCTTATGACATTGCACTCACAGTTTTGGGGATTTCTTGTTCTACTTGCAATACAAATTTGACACTGGCAGCGTAGCAGAGTAGAGATGGGCAGAGTAGAGTAGAGCAGAGAAGAGACATTACTCTACAACACAAGGCACTAACATGTCACAGATGTACAGTACTTTGCGATGTCTTGGAGAGACACTGGCAGCGATAGATAGATAAATAGACACTTTATTGATCTCTGTTGAAAAATGCAGGTGTCTAGTAGCAGCAGAAAACATCCATCCGTCAAAAAGTAGCTAACAATAGTAATAAAATGCAACAGCACTTTAGGTCACATCAGCCTGCTTAGGTCGGACCATTTTCTCTGCTCTGGTTCAGTTTTCTGTGTGTTTGCTGCTCCAGGGAGCAGATAGAGCAGCAGATGAAGCCTGCCGTCTGTGAGTCCGAGTTCTGCTCAACCTCACAGCAGAGCTTCACCGTCCAGGGCTTCGTGCCGCTGTGGGAGCGACTCACACCGGTCTGTAACCAACACAAGCTGCACAGACACACAACACAACCTGCACAGACACACAACCCTAATCTCTGTGTGGAGTGAGGGACAAATGCCCACAATTGTAAAACAACTCTGGTCTGTGAAAAACGCTATATATTACTTACTTGCTTAGTATTACAACACAACCTGCAGAGACACACAACACGACCAGCACAGACACACAACACGACTTGCAGAGACACGCAACACGACCAGCACAGACACACAACACAACCTGCACAGACACACAACCCTAATCTATGTGTGGAGTGAAGAGACAAATGCCCACAATTGTAAAGCAACTCTGGTCTGTGAAAAGCGCTATATATAACTTACTTGCTTCTTAGTATTACAACACAACCTGCAGAGACACACAACACGACCCGCACAGACACACAACACGACCTGCACAGACACACAACACAACCTGCACAGACACACAACTCAATCTGCAGAGACACTGGTCCATGGAGCCCTGACCAACTCCAAAACTCCCACAGCAGTCAATTTGAGGAAGTGTATTTACTTAATTTAAGTTTTTTGTGTCCAGGTGCACGACTACAGATCCGAGAACAGCATCACGTTCTGGAGCGAGAACTGCCAGCAAGTCCAGGTCAGTAGAGTAGAGTAGAGTAGAGTAGAGTAGAGTAGAGTAGTGTAGAGTTGGGCAATGTAGTATGGAGTAGACTGGAGCAGAGTAGACTAAAGTAGAGTAGTGTAGAGTAGACTGGAGTAGGGCAGAGCAGAGTAGGGCTGGTGGAAACATGGCTAGTCAGACTCTGCCTCAAAACCACGAAACTCACACTTGGTTCGTTGGACTGTGACGACAGCAGTTCTTTGCCATGATCCGTGTCTCTGCGGCTGAGACACGACTGTACAGAGAGTCAGGCATGAGAGAATGTTCACGCACTCGTCCTGTCTTCTGTGGAAGTGTGTGAAATGTCAGCAGGCAGCAGATCCTCAGCTCTTTATAAGGAGATCATTTACAGCGGGAGAGAGAGAGAGAGAGAGAACCCCATCTGACACTGCTCCCAAGCTAGAGACCAAACACAACACTGCATCTGTAAATAAAAAGTTCTTTAGCAGAAGTAGCTCTGAGCTGAAGGTTGTGGGTTCAGATCCTGCTCCCAACTGAAACATCACTGGTTGAGCTCCTTTGTAAAGTTGTCCTTGTTTAAAATAGGCTTGAAAATGTCTATTTTTCTCCGTGTGGATGAGGAGGTCGCTATGATGCAACTCTGTCTTGTTTCTCTCAGGTCTCCCTCTGGCCTCTTTCATGTCTCTTTGGTCTCTTTCTGGTGTGTCTCTCTGGTCTCTCTCTCTGGTTTTTCTCTGTTCTCTCTCTATGATCTTTCTCTAGTCTCTCTCCCTCTCTAGAGTCTCTCTCACTCTCTTTCTCTTTTTGGTGTCTCTCTGGTGTAAGATGTTTTTGTATTTTTTAGTCATGGTCTCTCTCTCTCTCTCTCTCTCTGGTTTCTCTGTGTTCTCTCTCTATGGTCTTTCTATGGTCTCTCTCTCTTTGGTGTCTCTCTGGTCTCTATTTCTCTCTAGTGTCTCTCTGGTGTAAGACGTATATTTTACTCGTGGTCTCTCTCTCTGGTTCCTCTCTGTTCTTTCTCTATGGTCTTTCTCTGGTCTCTTTCCCTCTCTGGTGTCTCTCTCTCTCTCTTTCTCTCTTTGTTGTATATCTGGTCTCTCTCACACTGGTCTCTCTCTTTCTCTAGAGTCGCTCTGGTGTAAGATGTATATTTTAGTCGTAGTCTCTCTCTCAGGGGGTGACACCAGTGCGATCCGCCACAGAACCGTTCAAGAAGTGCTCCCAGTTCAGTCGACCAATCAGCGAGAGGCTGGATGAGCAGACTCCGCCCCTCGAGGACTGAGGGTGACAAACGGCGACGCGGTGACGGTCAGTGAGGAACCAAGTGCAAAGACTTTATCAGCAAAAGAACCGGTCTCCAGTTTATGATGGAGGGAAAGAAACATGCAGAATGATTATTTTGAATCGTCAAGTTTGGGTCATTTACTGTGGTTTGCAAAAAACAGATAAAGCTTTTTTGTCCGCACTAAAGGTCATCAACACTCGAACAGAACAGAAACACCTCATGTAGTCGTTTGTAATTTAACATGTAGAAGGAAAAGAATTTACATATTATATTTTCAGGGCTTTATTTCACATTTTAGCATGTTTTTAATTAAACCATCTCAACAGTTCCAAACAGTAACTCCTCGTTTTTCAGACAGATTTTTTTTATGATCAAATATTTATTGGATTCTATTATTACATATTATGTTACAGAACTTTCAAGCACAATCACTCTTAAAAAGATAAAGTAAAATTCCCCTTACCCCCATCACCTCCCCCTCCTCCCTTTGAGTCGCCCCTCAAACACACACATACAAAACTCACATACACACATGAGCTACAGTTATTTACATTATTTTGTCATTTCTGTGATCAACATAAATAAATAGCAGCAACAATTAATGAGAATATTCACCAGTGTGAAACAACACATGCTGATACACACATACATATACAGATATGTCATACACACACTAAACACAACCTCCCTCATCCACAGAAACAGCTAAATACATACTGTACTACTATGTAATTTGACTTTCAAATGATATATGCAGTATTATCTTCGCTTTTTAGAATGATCAATTTTATTTTTATTTTCCTCCTACGAGGATCAATAAGTCCTAAGTCATGTGTTTTTGTCGTGTGTTGTTGCAGTTGATCCACCGTATTATTTTACTGTCGACTGTAAACTGTCGTTCCTGAGCTCAGTCTTATGGGCATCTCTCTTGCGTATGACAAGAGTATGACTTTCTCGTTAGCTAGCCTGATCCATCAGAGATAATGGCATGTTTGGACAGGCGCTAGAATGGTGCGTCGTCATAGTTACCACAGCAAAAAGAGCTGATTGACAGCCAGGTCCACTGCCTTTTTTTGTCCCGATCAATAGTGACATGCGTGTGTGGGAGGACGCCGGCGCACTGCGGTGTTCTAATGGGATAATTACAGGTTCAAAAAGATGGAGAAGATACGATTTATTGAACTATGGCATTATATTGAAACAAAGAACTCCAAAGGGGAACTGTCATTGCATTTCCAGCCCTTGTACAAGTTTTGAAATAGTATTTGTTCTGGATTTTAACAACTAGAAGTGATTACGACTTTATCATGACAGAGATGCTAACCATAGTTACGGTTTAAAGCTGGGGTACCAAAATTTCAAACCACAAAAAAATGCTATTTAAGATAATCCATGTACCTTGTCTAGTTCAACACTGTTTCCACATTCATATATGTTTGGCCTGTGTCACATCTTTAGATCATAGACTGTATATAGATGGACAATGCTAACCCGCTAGCTCAATGAAGCCTAATAGTGAAGAGCTCGTGGAGGAAGTTTTGTATCAGATACAAGTAAAACTATTGACATCTCTACCCTAAATGTTTTTTGATAAAATAAACAAAAAAACAAATCTAGTAGTCGTATTTCCACACCTTATTTTTTATCGGTTCAAATAGGTTGCGTTTATGTGACACCACAACATTAAAAAGAGCCTATAGTTTCATGTTGTAGTGGAAGGCAGCGGAATAAAAGACTCCAGTCTTTGCTTAAAGCTAATTTCTCTGTAATTTCTGGAACAATCCACATTAAACAAAAACATCCACAAAGCTCCACATGTCTGCACATACATCAACTATGGTCTCATTTTCTCTGTCTGGTCTCTCTCTCTGGTCTGTCTGTCTGGTATCTTTCTGCTCCCTCTCTCTCTGCCTGGTCTCTCTCTCTTTAGTCTCTGTCTCTGGTCTCTTTCTGCTCTATCTCTCTCTGGTCTCTCTGATCTCTAGCTGGTCTCAATTACAGTATGGTCTCATTATTTTCTCAGAAAGGTGTCAAGAAGTGGTGACATTATTATCACAAGATGATTTCCTGTAGAAAAGGACTTTCAGACATAATTGTGTCGGCTTTGTGAATGTAACCACTGTCAAATAATGATCTGGGAAAACAAACAGGACATTGTCTTTTTCAACATTTCTTTCCAAAACTGCTTCCTTCTCATAGAGTTGAGCTGGTTTTCTGGTTTTCCTGGCAGCTGCTTCATGTTGTGTCCTTAGGCAAACCACTCCACTCACCTTGGCTCCAGTGTGTGTGGGTGAGAGTCCAAAACAGGAAGAAATCATCAAACTAATCTGAGTATTTACCGTTCTTTGCTTGTGGTGGATTTAAACTGTTTTCATATTTTGTCTTAATGGAAAACGGCATTTTTGGGGAAGATTCATTTTGTTTTTTCATTATTAAACCATATATCTCTAAGCCAGTGTTTACGCTCAGACCAAATAATATGCCATAAACTGCCTAGAGCGGTGGACGATTCAGATCTATGTTCATTTGAGTATATTTGCTAATCCAATTGAGATCACGCTAATGCGGGCTGTTTCAGTGTATTTTTCCCTGCACAGTTCACTTTCTCCCAAATGACAAATTGCTAGTTCAATCTGGAGAGACTCACACAGATAAAAGGTTGTTTGTTTGGGGCATGGTGGCGGAGTGGCTAAGGTTCGATTCCACCTCCAGGGCCTTTCGAGGTAGGTTTCCTCCGGGTGCTCCTGTTTCTCCAAGCACTAAAAACATGAACAATAGGTCTCAATGTATTTGAATGAGTGAACGGATAGTGTGGGTCAGGGGCTTTGATGCGCCAGTGTGTCCTGCAACTTGCTTCTGTCATCACTGGGTGTGGAGTGAATGGAAAAATATCTGTACTTCCAAAAACCTTGCAGAGCATTTTGGTCTGTAAAATGTGCTGACATACTTGCAATCTCACTCCTTGCCAGTGGTATGAGACATAAATTTCAACGGTGGAGATAGGCGTCACTACGTCTGTTAATATTTACAATTATGGATAAAGGGTGAGCTGGTCTGGCTGACGAGGCGGTGATGGCGAAGAGGAGGGTTGCTGCACGATGTGAACGCTCAATGTGAGCTTGTGCACAAGTAGTTTCTCCAGTTTACCTGAACCTCTGCTTTAGCCTCATTTTTTGTCTTAATAATAACAAAATTGCACATGGTATGTTCAAAATCACAAAATTACAGATTGACCATAACAAAGTACTAGACAACTGAAGTAGTTTTGTGAGTTTATCCAGTCAAAGCTTCTGCCAATTTTAAACTGGTCTGATTTGTTCATAATACTATGACAAGACAAACAAAACAATTATTTATATATATGTAAAAAAAATATCTGGTACCCAACACATTTTCACCCGTTGTATTTGTCTTTATGGAATGAATAAAAACAAGGCCCACGACTGGAAAAAGACAGATTTTATTGAACAAAATATCTTACAGATTCCTGGATATACATATATACAAAGTGTGTGACCTTGCAGTCGGACTGTGCCTCCAAAAACCTCCTAAAACTTTTACATCAGGAAATATTCTCACAATCAAATACAATACAAATTCTAAATATAGAAAGCACAAAAAATAATGTTCTCCTCTGTGAAAAGTACTGGGACGTTGCTCCTTCATACAAAACAATACTTTTACAATATTTAAAAATACCTCCTGATTTAGGAGCTAATAAAGCTTCAGATAACGTAGACGTCGCTCTTCTCCCCCAGGAGCCAGTAGGTCCTCATCTTCCCTTTGCCCTGAGCACAAAACATCGATACTGTCACAGGATACGGTCTCTGGAAGCAGCTAGAATCAGCACGATGACTAAAAGGACACATAGTATGCATTTTTTTTGTCCATTCAAAATGATAAGGAGGCTTTTTACTTTTTAATTTCATGTTTTAGAATGTGAATTCCTATCTCAAATGGAAAATATATGGAGAAACATGTATGAAGGGTAAACAAATCTTTCTGCATGTAACTCCCTGTGCTGCCACCAGAGGGAGTGGATTTTTTCCACAGATGTGCAATTGTGAAAAAAACTTGTTATTTCACTTGATAAATTGCCCAAAACTAATATAGGGGTTATACTTTTGTTGTTATAGTGTTTGAAATGTAATTGTAATATGTGTAGTATTGTTTTTGTCCACAATTGAAACAAATAAATAAATAAATAAATAGTGTCAATCCCAGGGGAAGCTCTGGAGTGGTGGTCAGAGGACTGAGTGGAGAGCAATGGCAGCGTGCGTGTGTTGATAAAATACATGATATGCGCGAAAATACTGCTGTAAATGACCAGGGGGAACAACTAGGATATGGCCAAACGCTAACAAAAGTACATTTTTCGGTTATGTCCTGTTTAAACAAAGTGAAAAGGCTGTTACCTTCATTTCGACGTCTCCTCTTAGCTGCAAATCAAAGTATCCGAACTCATCCAGGACTTCTTTGGTGGTAGACGACATGTGGATCCTTAGAGCTGAAAAACATGAATCAGAAGCAACTATTGGCAAGCGCTGGAACAAGTTTAATCAATCACTCGCAACCAACCCATTATTGAAATCCAAAAACACCATATACTGTAACAGCTAGTATAACATGATGACAGTTATTGTTATTTCAAGTCTTTCTCTCTGGTCTCAACATGGTATATCTCTCATCTCTCTCTGGTCTCTGTCTCATCTCTTCTCTTTCTGGCCACTATCTGTGGTCTTTTGAATTTACTCAAACAATATAAGGGTCATGTTTTTCGACTTCTCCAGCGCTTTTAATACCATCAGGCCGGCACTGCTGCAGGGGAAGATGGAGGACGTGGGAGTGGACAGTAGCCTCACTGCATGGACCATCAACTACCTCTCAGACCGACCACAGTACGTGCGGCTGCGCAGCTGTGAGTCTGAGGTGGTAGTCTGCAGCACTGGGACCCCTCAGGGCACTGTCCTCTCACCGTTTCTCTTCATCTACACCTCAGACTTCACACACGACACACACAGCTGTCATCTGCAGAAGTTCTCCGACGACTCCGCCATCGTGGGCTGTGTGTCTGAGGGGAACGAACTGGAATATCGGTCGGTTATCAAGGATTTGTCGACTGGTGTGAGCGCAACCACTTGTGCTTGAACACCAGTAAGACCAAGAAGATCGTCATCGACTTCAGGAGAAAACCACTTTCCCACACGCCGCTGAACTTCCAGGGGGAGGACATTGAGCTGGTGGACAGCTTCAAGTACCTGGGTGTTCACATTAACAATAAACTGGACTGGTCCCATAATACAAACGCCCTGCACAAAAAGGGCCAAAGTCGCCTCTTTCTTCTGAGGAGGCTGAGGTCCTTCGGAGTGAGCAGGCCTCTGCTCAGGACTTTTTATGACTCTGTGGTAGCTTCTGCCATTTACTACGCTGCCGTGTGCTGGGCCCCGGGCAGCACAGAGCGGACAGAAACAGACTGAACAAGCTGGTCAGGAGGGCCAGCTCCACTCTGGGCTGCTCCCTGGACTCTGTGGAGGAGGTGAGGGACAGCAGGGTGCTAGCCAAAGCCACCTCCATCATGAACAATACCTCCCACCCACTGCACAGGACTGTAGAGGAGCTGAGGAGCTCCTTCAGTGGAAGACTGAGACACCCTCAGTGTAGGAAGGAGCGCTACCACAGGGCCTTTATCCCCACTGCTGTCAGACTGTACAATAAGTCACTTTAAATGATCACTGTGTGAAAACCTGCACTACTATGACACTGACACTGTTTCCAATTGACACTTGTCACTTTTGTTGTACATAATTATTGTCACTTTTATTGTACATATATATCCTGCATGTAACATGTTTGCACATTTCCTCCTTTTGCACAATCTGAGTGTCTATATCCATGCTAAATGTGACATGTAAATTTCTCCTATGTGAGATAAATAAAGCACATCTTATCTTATCTCTTAATATATAATATAGCAGGGTTTCCTCCAGAGGGGGGGATGGGGGGGATCAGTCCCCCCTAGCCATGGCCCTAGGGGGGGATATCCCCCCCTCAATTTTTTTAGACATGCATGTATCTCACATCAAAAAGTGCAAAAACATACACCTGATCTGGAATACTATCTAATCTATGATGTATTACATGTACACTTTTTGCGGTCTTGCGGATTTATTTTCAGAATTATTTTCACTGTATATGAACTTGATGTGTTCATCCTGATTGGCTAAGGAAGAACCAGCGTATTGTGTTCTGCGTCCTGATTGGCTAAGGGGCAATCTCCGTGGCATGTTTCCTGCATCACAGCATTCAGCCTGACAAATGTGAATCCATGTCTGATTGCTAGCAGTGTGACTGTAAGTGTTGTATACTAATTTTCTCCTTAAAAAAACCATGGACTAAACCCACAACATGGTTAGTGCTAAAAAGTTGAATTTCTGGACATGTTGAAACGATGACAGCAAAGAGGAGCACGGTGCGGAGCCCAGGCCATTGGCGAGGGATTTTCACACAGCACTAAGCCCATTTTTTTCAAGAAAATTTACAATTTTGATTTCAAGATTTCAAAAGGCTATAACTTTAAAGTGGTTTGAGATGAAGGCATATTGTAAATCAGAAATATCTTCAGTATGAACCAAACTTTGGGATGGAGGTTGATTCGTCATCTAACTTGCATATTGTGACGTCATCAAAGTGGCCATGTTGGAAAATGTAAATTATTGTATAAAGATTTCAAAAACCTGTAGTTTGAGAGTGTGTTTCATTCAATGTGAACTATCTTTAGTATGAAACACAATTTGGGATAGAAATAAATTCACAGATCCAATTTATATAGAATATTTTAGCACTGGTCAGCGGCCATATGAACTTTTATTATGTATTAGACAGTCAATGATCAAGATGGCACTGCTTATAGTTTACCAGTCATGAAATCTGCACTTTGGTTTCAATATTACCCTTTCAAAAGACCTAGTGGCATACTGTTTGTCTCAGTGGAAATGAGGCTCCATAATTCATCGTTTAGAAACAGAGCGATTAAATGAATGGGCTCAGAACTTGTTTATTGTGTAGACCAGGGGTTCCCAAAGTTTTTAGCCCGCGACCCCCATCATAAATGCCCTGCTAACCCGTGAATGTTTCCACTGCGGTCACACACCGCGGTAAAGAGGCCCGGCTTTTCGGGGTTGTTAAAATCAGTGTTCTCATAACTGTAATCGTCTTGTGTTATGTAATGCACTTTGAATTGTTGTCAGTGTATGTTTTATATTGAAGAGCCCTTATTTTATTTTTGGCACTTCCTGTTAAAAGTGTTCTATGCCTTTAACTTCCTGTTGCCGCTTTTATTGAGAGAAGCGCGAAACTTACAGCACGGATGTGCGCTCTTCACTTTGCAAATAAAGTGACAGAAAGATCATACGTGTCGGTGCCTCTTTAACCATGTCTGTTGAAGGAAATGCACAAGAGAACGCTGTAAACACAACAGGTTATGGGCCCAGGCGCGACAACGGAGGAAGATGGCAAAGGTTGGTGTTCAGCGGCGATGAAAATGACTACGAACTTTGGGAAGTAAAATTTCTCGCCCACCAACGCATTATCGGGCTGAAGAATATTATACTCTCAACCACCGACCCTGATGCCGACAAAAATGACGAATGTTATGCTGAACTCATTCAGTTTCTTGACGACACAAGTCTGTCCCTGATCATGCGGGATGCAGCTGATGGGAGGAAAGCCCTTAAGATTTTACGGGACCATTACGCTAGCAAGGGTAAGCCCAGAATCATCGCGCTGTACACCGAGCTCACATCCCTGCAAAAGAGATCAGATGAACCTGTTACATACTACATAATACGCGCTGAAAAGTCCGTAACAGCACTAAGAAATGCAAATGAAGTCATCAGCGACGGTCTTATTATTACAATGATTCTAAAAGGACTTCCAGAAGCATACAAGCCATTTGCCATTCATACAGCGCAAAGCAAAGAAGACATTACATTCACGCAGTTCAAGAGTAACCCACGGAGCTACGAAGAGACAGAGAGGTTTGAAAATAAACCAAAAGCAGATAATGTTATGAAAGTCAACATAACATCAGTTACGTGTTATGGATGTGGAAACCGCGAGCACATTGCCAAAGACTGCCCCCAAAAGGCTGCCCCAAAGTGGTGCACCTACCATCGAAGTTCTACACATAGTGATGAGACATGTAGGAGGAAGAATAAAAGCAAAGATGATGCTAAACAAATAGCGGAGAGACAAGAAGACAAGAAAGAAGAACAAACCCTTGTGTTTCAAGTCAGTAATAGACTTTCACCCACAGACATAATGAAAGAAAGACTAATGGTGGATTGTGGAGCCACATCCCACATTATTACTGAAAAGAATAAGTTCATGGAGTTTGATAAGACCTTTGACCCTGAGAAACACTACATGGAACTCGCCGATGGATCCAGGACAAACAATGTGGCACTAAAGAGGGGGGACGCCAATTTTGCTCTACAGGACGAGCAGGGCAACTGGATCAACGTCACTCTGAAGGATGCCCTCTTCATCCCATCCTTTCCACAGAGCATATTCTCTGTAAAAGCAGCTACTGCCTTCGGAGCCCAGGTAGTGTTCAAGAAAGGGCACAACCAACTCATCAACAAAGATGGAAATGCATTCAGCATTGAAGAATACAATCGACTTTACTACTTGAAAACGGTAAACAATGACTCTTCATTTCAGGATATGGGTTCTTGTGACAGTGTAAATCTGACATGTGATGTGAAAACATGGCACAAGATCTTAGGCCACTGTAATGTTAACGACATTTGCAAGTTACCAGATGTTGTAGAGCACAGGTGTCAAAGTCAAGGCCCGGGGGCCAGATCCGGCCCGCAAGACCATTTCCAGTGGCCCCTGAGACGAATTTATATTATTATATTAAATAGCAACCTTGATGGTAATAGGCGACAATGGCATGTTATCCATTACTAATTTTCTCAAGAAAACAACCATAACATTTAATTCCATAAGAAATGTTAAGCCAACATGTAATGAGAAGTTAGTATTGTTATGTTTTTTATTACAAGTCTTTAATTACATTTCTTCACAAAAATATGAAGGAGGATTTCCCCTATTTTTTTAGGAAAGAACCGCCCTCTCCACCTTTTGAACAAATCTTCATTCATTCATTCATTCATTCATTGAAATGAATGAATGAAGATTGACCTTTGGTAGGACCAATATTCTTGATGATCCACCCGAAAATCTTCCCATATACCTTCAATATTTGGTCCAGTTTTGGTTGAGTCCACAGTAACTGAACTAAGTCGATCAGAAAAGAATATCCAATCGACCTAATGTGAAACAAATCATTTATATAGATACCTTTGTATTTTAAAAAATTATAATAAATGAAACCCACTTCTTTCGGCCCCTGATCAGCCCTTTAATTTTTTTTCGGCCCTCAACTAAAATGAGTTTGACACCCTTGTTGTAGAGGGAATGAAAATCACAGGTAATACAAAA